TGACGCTCGCTGCATCAACAAGAAAGCATGACTCTTTTTCAAATCGTTTCTCTAGGATGGACTTAAATTTAAAAAGCTAAAATGGTACGCTTTTATTAGCAATTCCTTTTTTTCCCTCTTATTTCTACCCAGCAAACCGTTGAAGGTAAACATAAATTTTTGTATGATCGAAAACTTTGATTTCCCTGTATCCATTGCATATTAATCATTTATCCTGATCTTGTCATTTTTGACGAATGATTTTATCTAGGAGTGACCTATAAAGGTATCGCCCCAGCTAAAAATTGAAAATTTGAACTATGGCAACGTGACAGCAATGGATGACACTTTCAAAATGGACCAAATTTTGTCATCATTGTCTGAAAGCTGGTGGTTTCCTCTATATTTTGAGACTAAGATCATCGCTTTACGACAAACCGTTCACGAGATATGCGAGTTGAAATATTTATCTTTGAACCCCTTTCCCTCTATCCGTACTTGTTTGATTTCAAAAATCGTCGGTGTTTTGGACTCGGAAAGTGATTCTCTATCGACCTTGAAAGTATTTCGAAGATCAGGGCGAGGTTGGAAATGACCGCTTTTGAATAAGGCCTTTTGATGACCGTTCAACCACCCATTCTTCTCCATTTTATCGAAAGACTCTTGCATGAAATATTCCTGCAATTGTGCGGGAAGTTAACATCGGAATATCATAAACAGATTTTAAATTTCACCTTTGCCCCGCATTAAAAAAATATTCAGCAAAATTGATGATAATCAGAAATAGCTAGTGATTATCAGTAAAACGGAGTAAGTAACAGTTAGCAAATTGGAATAGAATTATAGTGTCATTTATTCCAGTAGATCAACTTTTCACCCACCTATCCTCACAAAATGGCGCTATTGGGTGAAAGTTTCCATTTAATCCATAGTTTTTCTCACTTGTCAGCAAAGCGGAGTAGCAAACTTGAAATCGATGTCTCTCGGTTGCGAGGTTTCAAAATGTTCAGTATTATTTAATGTTTCCCCTCAGATGGAAAAAAAAGTGTCCTGGATCCAAAGTCCAGACTCTTAAAAGATTGGACAAGAAAAATACTCTTGGTTCAATCGGATTTTTCTTTGAAACGAGAGCCCAGCCTCTTAATTAAAGCGGATTTCTTTTTTGTTCAAGCAAAAATCTGATTGTTTCGAGAGTATTTTTTAAGAGTCTGGACTCCGGATCCAAGAGACTTTTTTCCAGTGTAGGTAAACGAGTTTCATAGGCGTAGCTAGACCATTTTGCTGGGGGGGGGGCCTGGCCCCCCACCACCGGGGGGTCTGGGGGGTATGGAATACCCCCCAGGTCAGCGGGGGGTCCGGGGGGCCTCCCCCGGAAAATTTTTGNTTACGAACAGAAGCCTGTTATGTTTGTTGTTCTAACGTTAATTGAATGTTAACATAATAACAATACCGCAGTATCACAGAGATAACATCGTCTCGATATTATTTTAGCAATTTTATTTTCCTAATATTGTGTCAATGTTATGTCAATATTATAAGCAGAAGCCTATGTTCAGTATTTTTTTTAATAATGCGCCAATGTTAAAACTAACATATTACTGCAATGTTGAAAACATAACTCTACGACAGTATTAGTTTACCAATATTGTATAACCAATATTGTGACAACATTGTGACAATCTTGGAATCACCGAGCACCATCTGACGTTGGATTTCTAATGTTGCTAATATTGGTGCAATATTAAAATACTAAGGTTATACATCCAGTATTGATGGCATATTGTACCAAGATTCTCAGGCCAACCTTACTGTTGAAATATGCTCACAATCTCGCTAAGGTTGCCACAATATTATTCCGATCTGCCCAAGGTCAAATTTCCGATTGGGAATACTTCAAGAACTATAAAAATCAAAATAGTTAAGTACGGGTTAAAATGTCACGACTTGGGACTTCGCGTATGAAAAAGTCTTTGGCATCTAAGAGTTAAAATGCAAGCTTCAGACCATCAAAAAGATGCAATGACCATGTTTGCGTGTTGAACGTGTAACATTCCTAGTATGCTCATGCGCACTGGCACGCAATCATGTTTGTTTCTTAATTTGCTCCATCATAATTTATTCTCCCAATTCTCATTGGAGATTACACCTGTAAGTGGGCACGCGATATGTTGCCTAGTTTTGAGTACGATGGATAAATTAGAGGGAAATAGACATTATTCGTGTTACGTCTTAAAAGACCAAATGATCAGTAGCGTGGCGTGAATTGCGATATATCGATTGTTATGTAATATAAACCTATGGTAAAGAATCGATTATTAAGGTGTTCGCTGCGAACACCCTGTTTATCGATCCTTTTCCATAGGTTTAAATGACATAACAATCGATATATCGCAATTCACGTCACGCCACTGCGATTGATGTCAATTCACTCTCATCGGTAGCATTGACAGAGGTGATATTTTTATTGTGCTGTTTCAGTTCGATACAACAGAGGATCCGTTCATTTGCCCTTTGGAACTGACTCCCCGAAAATGCCGAAAGTGACTGAGAAAATAAAGTATAAGGTTCATTATAATCAAAATTATCAAGGGAGGGTCTCCAGGGTGGCAAAATTTCTTGAAAAACAAAACCTTAAAATTTCACGTGAAATATTTCATGAAATTTCAGAAATTTATAAAATATATCGAAAAATACCGGTTCCCTTTCATGCTTCGCAATATGTAAAAATCGTGACTCTCTTCTATACTTGTGTGTTTGAGTGCGGACTGCATAATCTAGCCCCTTAATATGAAAGATTTCACAGCCTCGTGAAATTTCATGAAATATTTCACTGAAATTTCCAATCTTTCAATCCTTTCTTACGTTTCATGCCACCCTGGGGGTCTCATGCTGCAGCTGAAAAACCTGACGTTATACGAGTAAAACAATGTTTTTCCTCTCTCAGGAAGATGAGATCCCAAAGGAGAAAAAATAGTTGAAACCAGTAGCACATTATCAGAAAGCATACGTAGGGATGTGCAAAACTTGTACAACTTCATTTGGAGCTATTTCTCACAGAGTTTCAAAACAATTAGAAATAGGGTAGCATGGGAAACGTAACCTCAAATAATTAATGATTTGGTAAGAAGAAGAACACCGGAAATACAGCTTGAGATTTGACGTGTACACTTCTTGATGGCGGGGGGGGGGGGGGGGGAGAAAAAGCACGTATCTATTGAAACACTATAAATACAACGTTAAGTACAAAGGGTTATCAACGTAAGACAAACTCAGCGAGTAATTGAAGTATCACAACAAGATGTTCCCTAAATAGAATCAGGCATCAAAACTGCCGAAATTTATTTTGTTCTTTTCCTCGGCATTTCTCATGTAAATTCATCTAGCATGAAAAAGTCAACGATACCGGGTTCGCTGCACGCTTCCACAAGATCAAGTGTTTGATTAGCCACATGCTCCAAGCATCGAGGAGACCTCTGCCTACGTATGAAGAAGTAGAGAGGGGGTGGGGGAGTTGTATGCCAGGCAGAGATTTCATACATTTTCTCAAGATCGGTGTTGTCAACTTCAATTCATCATTATCCCCGAACCGTTTGTTTCTCCAGAATCTACGATCACTCGTTGGATGCAAAATTAGACAGGCAGATTTTGATAAAATGGTTTTGGTTCCGATAAAAAATTGAAATTTTTATGCTTCCTTCATTTAAAAGAGATCATTTTTCTTAGAAATTGAAAAAATGCAGAGCACACGCTCTAAAAATCAAACTTTGAGATTTCCTCTCCAATTATCCTAATGGAGATATTTTAGACGATTTTTAAATAAAAACAAATTTTCATATATTTTCCCGAAGCTTCCCAGTTTAAACTGTCACTCCTCCTGGCCTCTCTCTCAACATTTTTGGGAGCCTGAAAATTTGGGAGGAAAAGCGCTCGGGTATGAGGAATCAATAAACTAAGTTTCAAGAAAATCTAGAGGGGAGGCAAAAAATGTCAGTTTTGCATCATGCTGTTCAGCTAACTAATAAGATACATACATACGAGTCGCTGTTATAGCGCTCTTTGGCGCTTTGCGACACCTAAACGCCACAAAGCTCGGTCTTCCCACAGGTTATCAGGGAGTTGACACTCCCTCATCTCACTTAATACCCCCTGTCGCCAACCTCTCACTGGGCGTCCCCTACGCCTCCTCCCAGGAGGAACCCAATCAAGCATCTTTTTTGGCAGCCTCTCTTCCGTCATCCTATTGACATGACCATACCAAACAAGTTGTTTGGTCATGACGTCGAACACGATGTCATTTTCGACTTCCATTATCTGACGCACTCTATCATTACGGACCCGATCTCTCCTAGAAATTCCTGCCGACCTTCTCCAGAAATCCATCTCCGTTGCTCTTAGCATATCCTGTGTCCGTTTCTTCAGCTGCCAAACTTCAACTAACTAATAAGATTGCAAAGCAAAATTAAATTGAATTTATGGCCAACTTGCCTGAATTGGACTTTGCTTTTCGACCGTCGAGAAGTTTGGATTGACGGTCACCAAAACACTGATTGCTCACTTCGAAATTGAATTTTGCCCATTCTTATTATGGTGTCTTTTGTATTCTACATACAATGTTGATTAAAATGAATGTATTTTAACGCTTGATTTCTGAACCTATTTATTGAATCATTCGTTGGTTGGGCACTGCTTGACTGCTTAGAAGCAATGTTTGTCTGCATGCATCTGCAAGTAGATAAACTGTAAGAGCGCCTTCAATTTCGTGACTATGCAACCAGCTGCTCAGAAGTCATAGTGGTTGCAGCCTGACTATGCAAGTCAAGTAAATAAACTAGCAAATCGTCTTCAAGTTTTCGACTGTGAAAAACCAGCCACCCAGGAATTGAAAAGTTTCATTTGTGTCTTCACGTAATTAGACAATATCAGTGCCCTCAATTTCGTGAATATGCGCAAGCAGCAGTTACGGAGGAGTAAAATTGTAAAATTTTTGATTGTGTATCATTACGTGAATAAACTGCAAGTCATTTTTTTAGGCGAAAGCTTTTATTTTCACGATGTCAACTCTCAGATTGCTGACAATGTTTCCTCCTCTTAAACCGAACGTTTAGAGGTTTCCGCGATCGAACAACGAGCGTAAACATCAACTCCAAATCCTCCATTCCATGCTCTGACTCCAGTGTAAAGTCGCGCAGAATGTAGGATAAAGTCACTTTCTCCTCCAGTAAAGCAAATTTCTGACCTGAAAAAAGTTAGAACGATAATTTTGGCAATAGTATACACACTTTTTTTCCTAAAAGTTTTCGCCGATTTTAAGTTCGGCAGCGGGTAGCGAAAGAAAACCAACTTTCATGGGAAAAGGGAGATTGCTTGTTGAAAGGGGATGACACAATCTCAAATTCAGGGTCGTATTCATCGTCGTTCCTTAAACGTCGATCTTCGTGTATCAGCGAAACTCGATTTTAGCATGAGCCCCAGAAATCATGGATTTTTACGTAAAACAGGGTTCACGTGGAAATTAAGCTTCGCCCATACGTCAGGGACCAGAGGTGGATCCAGCAATGGACCACTAGACAACGTGCGATTTAAGTAATCCAATACTAGTCTCTTAACCAGAATTTCACGCAGAACACGATTCACAAAACGAAAATTACTGAAACCAACTCCTAACGAAGATATTAACGTTTTTATTTCACATTGGTTAAGAGGAATTTGAACTGCCCGCTCACAAGAAACTCAAAGCTCTACGTGAGTCAAATCGAGCACTACAACGGTTTCAGCAAGCTTCTCAATCGAGCAATGTTCATTTCCCACCGTGTGTTGTTCAAATTATAAGTAATTTGCTATAGCTGAGCCAAAGTGTCAAGATTGAGGTTGCCAGATTTTTACATCGCAGAGACTGTCATGATAACGTTTAGCGGGCGATGTGAATCACGTAGAGCATTGAGTTTTCATGAGCGGGTGGTTTGAATTCACGCATCAAGAATCATTAAATATCTTCGGAAGGAGTCAATTTCGGTAATTTTTGTTGTGCGCATCGTGCTCTACGTGAAATTTCAGTTACGAAACATGTATTAGAATGCTGAAATTCGTACCTTATCTAGAGGTCCATTTAGCAACACCGGATTTCCTCCATTTAAACCTATACTAAATGATTGATTCTTGTCGGAGCACCTGGCCCCTCCAAGAATCGATACATTTCCACAGGTTTAAATGGAGAAAAACAATGTTGCCAATTTCCTGGCTCCGCCCATGTCAGAGATCGACGAAATGGCATTTTTATTTAGGAGGCCCCATTTACATCGTGATTAAGGGAGGCTTAAGAAAACCCTAGAAATGGCATCCTTAAAAAGACAATTTTTGCCGATCTCAAAGAAAATTCAGCAGGATATATCTTTGAGAGGGATTAAAATTATTTACCACTGCATAAAGCACAAAATACGGAAGCAAAAATTTAATGATTCACAAACTTTAAGGTGATTCGTCAAGCTCCAGTGACGTGGTCGAACTGGCATGCAATATATCGCATCGATCAGGTCAATTTTCAACAAAAAAAGAACGATAGCACCTGCGCATAAGCCGTTTTCNTGGTCAGATATCGCACATACCTACACTGTATTACACATTGAAACACTTTACGTCATTAAGACAATGTCACGTTGGCGTCATTAATAAAAAACAACGTAAGGACCAAACAGCCGATTGTGCTTATGAGTTAAAATCACGAAGAATGTATTATAAAAGGTTTCAAAAAATTCTACCAAGATTAGGATTTGCTAAATTATCACTTCATTTCATTGCAAAACAGCCTAGATTTCTTTAAACTTAAAAAAGGAAAAAATCACACAATGGAATATTAGGATTCTGCAAAAAAAAACCATCGGAAAGTATAGAAGATAGGGCTGATAGTATAATCTACGGGAAACGAAATCAAAACCGTGCCTGCATATAAATATGTAAGGCACGCTAAAAATGATAATTGTATGCACTGAACGCAAATCTAATTGAGTCGAGAGTGCGTGTAATGTCAATGGTGAAGTTGAAACCAAAAAACACAAATATACGGCAGAAGAAATTCCGAGTTGAACGAATTCATGATGATGCCTCAAAAAATGGCGTCTGCCCGCGACTGATTCCAGTGTGCCCAAATTTGCTTATATCGTAAGAGTTAATTTCCTATGGAGCTACTAATTTTGCAGATCGCGCACTGAGTATCAAAACTAATCACTTTCTTTGCCAAAATTCACTCGCAACCACGATTCGGAGCACGATTTCGATACGCAAGCGCAAGACTTCTCTGACTCAAAACCACTAACTGATGAGCAAACGAAATCCTTTGAAACAGTGACATGGCCGCCTCAGCGAACAGACTGGAATGCGCGAACAACGCCGAAGGAAGAAACAGCCGAACACCGGGCCCGGGCGGTTACAGTTCTGAGAATTTCCCTGACCGGGCCCATTGTCAGGTTGGCGGGCAAGCGCAACCCTCGAGAAGGAGGGTGGACAGTGGTGGCTGGAGGGTAAGGAGAGGTTTTCTGCGTCACCGCTCGTAGCGGGGGTGGGGCGATCGACGACTGTATATAACTGCGCATGCGCTCTGCGCCGATCGCACGGGACTGGCCGGGATGGGATGCTTCGTGCAACGGTCAGCATTTTACAGTCAACCCGCTGTTAAATTGTCCGCTGCTATTTCAACACCCTCGCTGTTGCTTTAGCAGTTTATTTCTGCGAATTTAACGGCCTTCAAAACATTAGACCAACACCTGCCCGAATGTAAATTTAATATCCGAACGAATGTCAAAATAACGTGTGGACTGTAAAATGAAAAGCCAATGACAGTCATTCCAAGAGCTTCAGGAACGTTGATTTAATGAACCGAACCTGACGTTAACTCAACAGTCGTGCGATGACGGAATAACATACAGAATGTTATTTCAAAAGCATCAATAAGATGTTGAGCTAACAGATTTGCATACTTTTGTTTCAACATACTTAAAATGTTCAATTAGCAGTCACGACAAGTAAAAGAACAGAGAAACGTCAAACAAATTTAACATTCAATGTGACTGTTAAAATGACAGTTCTTTTTTTTCCGTGTGTAGGTTTTTTTCTCAACAGAGGTCTTCTTTTCATCGGTCACACTCATGTTTGAAACTTTCCGAAGGTGAAAGGACGAAACCACGAATTTTCGTTAGCGGCGTTGCGAACTTCCGGTCCTACTCCATTTTTCCCTTGGAAAACTAGTCAGCGTATTCTCTCGACCTCCATGATTTTTCTCCTTCATTGACAGAATTCTCTGTATAAATTTCAAACTATTAAGTTGATCTCTTCAAAAAATTAAAATAGGAGCGGACGTTTTAAAACATCGTGAAGGAGTAGTTGGCACATAGTGGGGCACATAGTTTGGCACATTTGTATATTGGTTCGCTATGCTATTCATTTGTGACTACATTAGAAAAATGTGCATTTGGTTTTCCATTATGGTCCAACTGATTAAATGAATTGTGGTATTCGATAAGTTTTCTCCTTAATCATGGAGATGAAATTTGTATAATTTTTGGTCATTGACTGACAATAGCCGAGCCTGTAACTTCAAATACGGGAATGAAGATCCGTGTTTTTTGTCACCACAAAGCGGCCCTTTGAGGGCAGCAAAGCGTTCAGCGTGGATTAGGACTCGTGAAGGAATGGAAGAAAGCTCTATTTTACCAAAGTATACACTTATTGAATAGTATTTCATGAGTGAAACCTAGTATATACCTGAATTTCAGGATGGAGCCCGAGGAGAAAGAGGGTGAAGCTCATGGAGTTTGCAGCTGTATCAAATCCCTGAAAAAAAAAAAACTGAAGTTCAATTTTTTCATTAACTTTATGACGTTGTCTGTTCCATATACTTGTCTTCAATGAGCCTGTTGCAAACTTTTGCCAGAGCAAAAATAAGAGTTGTTACTCATTGCAAATGTCTCAAAAATCACGATGAGCGCATCGGAAAACTCTGAAATGCACTTTTCAATTCAAAATCTGCATAAGAAAGCGTTTTTTCGAGCTTTCCGCCTCAAGAATTACACCACGACAGTCACGACACAGGTGAAATTTTCGTTAGAGGAGTCATTACATCCAATCCCTGCTCACAAGGATACTAAAAAATATTCAACACAGCCAGCAGCAATCCGTCAAAACACATTTGACGGGACGATAATAATTGTAATCTAATCGGCGTAATGATACAACTATTTGAACTCTCCTGAATGCGTGAGGTATCACGTCGCATTTGAAGGCGTTTTCAAGACAGCCAAGTTCCGATACCTGGTTACCTGGATACCTGGTGGTTCCGATAACCACCCATTTGTTAAATACAATTCTGGCTGGAGCGCACTTCAGCTATGATTTATTTCCTACCATTTGTTTGTTTTCAATCCTCCTATAAAAACTACTATTTTGCTGAATACACTTCTGGCTGGAGCGCATTTTAGCTATGCATTCACGACTACTAAAATGCCAAAGGAAATCGACAAGACTAGCGTATATGAAGGTTATTTCAATAGTAATCTGCCCTCGCATTTCTAAGGCACAATGATACAACTATTTGAACTCTCCCGAATGCGTGAGGTATCACGCCGCATTTGAATTCGTTTTCAAATCAGCCAAGTTTCGATATCAGGTTTGTAGTTTCGCAAGAAATTGGTGCACAAAATCAATAGAATGACTGATTTTACGAGCTATTGGAACTCAATAAACTTATGTTTTATTTGACGAAAGCGTTAAAAAACAGTTCAGTCAGAAATTTAAATCAACCTACGGTCCATAATAAAGTTCATATTCTTTTGTTTTGTTCCGTACCACTTGATTATTTTTAATCCTCGTATAAAAACCACCCATTTGCTAAATACAATTCTGGCTGGAGCGCATTTCAGCTATGCATTCACTACTGCAAAAATTTCAAAGGAAATCGACAAGCCCAGCGTGTATAGAGGCTATTTCAATAATTGTAATCTTCCGTCACATTCTTACGGCGCAATGATACAACTATTTGAACTCTCCGGAATGCGTGAGGTATCACGCCGCATTTGAAGGCGTTTTCATGACAGCCAAGTTCCGATACCCGGATTATCGTTTTGTTTGAATAGTTCATATTCTTTTGTTTTGTTCCGTACCACTTGTTTATTTTTTATCCTCGTATAAAAACCACCCATTTGCTAAATACAATTCTGGCTGGAGCGCACTTCAGCTATGCATTCACCACTGCAAAAATTTCAAAGGAAATCGACAAGCCCAGCGTGTATGGAGGCTATTTCAATAATTGTAATCTTCCTTCACATTCTCACGGCGCAATAATACAACTATTTGAACTCTCCTGAATGCGTGAGGTATCACGCCGCATTTGAAGGCGTTTTAAAAACAGCCAAGTTCCGATAGCAGGTACCCTGTTTTGGTGTTTTTGGGTGACCTAACCCTTCTATTGAAGGATGCCGGGTAGATTTTGCGATACATTTTGGGTTCATGCTCTTATATATTTAATTTTAAAAAGCTGTTCATAGGCCATTACTACGCCTAACAGTCATTTTGGTGGCAATATGAAGTATAAATCATTTTAATCGCTTATGATTAACGCAAAATGAAAGAATATCGATAGTGAGTAAACGAATGGGTGACTAGCACCTTATAGGCCCGTTTATAGGTCGTTCTTGGACCCATCGATCCAGAGGCCTGACTTAACTCGGAAAAAAAAAAGTTTTTCGACCTCCAGCCGTTACCTATCTATATTCTATCGCTACCACAGCATAGTCCAGGGTAGAGTACTTGTATAGAGAGAGTATGGACAGATCGCTTCATGGAGGGCTTAGGGCCCAAAAGTGCAGCCACCCTTCTAACCAACTTCTGACGCACAAAATTTCACTGCCAGTCTTTAGATTCCAATTCTAACGATGATGGCTAAGAAAGTTCATAAGTGAGCGTTCTTCCACAAAAATGAGTAAATTTATGCAAAAACTAAGTCAAATACGTGCTATATAAACGATGGTTCGTAACAATTGTATTAACGCTCTGGATAATTGAAATTTTTAGGTTGGCTGCATTTCTGGGCCCTAACTTTATTCGTGGAGGCATCGGTGAAAGCCTGATGGATTTTCGGAGTTTCACATCTGTCTATACTCTCGATATACAGGTACTCTAGTCCAGGGTACGCAGAATCTGAAAGGCAGATGGGCGTAATAACGATCTATACGCCTATTGGCTGTTCTTAGTGTGGTGTCCTCAATTCTAATGACCTCATAACAATCGGTGTGTTTACATTCGCATTTTTCTCGTATCGATAGATATCCGCCTTGATTGACATCGTGCTCTCCGCAACTTGCGCGCGGAATCGTCGGCCATGTTGAGCAGGGATTGAATGAAGAATGGAACGACTCCTCTAACGATATGTTCACATGTGCCGTAGTATCCTCTTGAAGCGGGAAACTTAAAAAAATGCAAATTTCTTACGCAGATTGTGAAGTTAGTGATGTATTTCAGAGTTTCCCGTTGCGCTCATCGTGATGTTCGAAACATTATCTATGGGGAACAACTCTTATTTTTGCTCTTGCAAAAGTTCGCAACAGGCCCATTTATTGTTCAAATAGATAGCTATAAACTCATGTTTAGCGTACCGTTTAGCGTACGTACAGGCAAAAACAAACTAATTTTTAACATGTCACTCATTTACAAAATAGTTTTAAGGACACCCTCAGGAAGGGCTCTCTCAAGCTGATAAAGCGCCTTCAAATGTAATCTCCGCAATTAGACGTACATTTGAGAAAGATCAAGTTTCACGGTTTCCTCCTCTGCTTTGCAAAATCGTGATAACACATAAAAATAATCCAAATAATTCAACGGAAAGACATGATTCACAAGACGGATTCATAAGAAAAAGAAAATTAAATCGTCGTTGAATCGTTCTCAAGAGTTTACAGCGTATAATACAAAATCCGTTTTTTTTTATTTTTTGTTAAAAACACTTTTTCTCCATGTTGATAAGACGGTTGCTGACACTTCGAAATGTTCCAGACATTTCTGTTTGTATTTTTCACCATTTAAACCACTTTTCTCGCACTCGTTTTTCCAGAGTTGGTTGGTTAATACAATAAATTGAAAGTTGATATTACTCGTGAAATCCACTTTGCTTATTACCATTCACATGACTTCGATTGACCATAGAAAAAAATGTTGCCTAACGCAGGAAAATGTACTGAGGACATTCCTCAGCTGTGCCCGAGTGCGCGAACCAAAACGCATGGTACGACGAATGGTATCGACGAAATCGAACAACGACAAAATCACTTGACTATCCATCCAGAATAATGGGCAGATACATGAGTCAGAGCATGCCCGCAAAAAACTTACCCCGAACATAAATGTATTGACTTCGTCTCGCAGATCCTCATCTGTCAACTTTATGGAGTCAGTTTCACTTGCTTGCAATAAAATGTCGATAAATGCAGATTTCTTACGCCCTACAAAAAAATATGCGTCAAACTGATGAGTTAGACAAACTTTCAACAATTGAGGGGTTTGGAGGACAAGGCACATAAGTGCAGTTTTTTTAAAATGACTCAGGTTGAATTGGTCTAAATGCATATTCTGCGAAAAATTTTCCCCAAAATTCCAATTTTCAAGCATCAAAAAGTCAGTTTGAACTTTCCTTCCGCCGTAAGGATCCTCCTGATTTCGAAACGCCAAGCACGTATTTCTCGAAATAGTAAAAACTGCACCAATGCGCCTTGTCTTCCATGCCCCTCAGTTATAACGCACTTTTGGACTCAAATCGAATTTTAATTTTTGAGGCTCAAGAAAAATTGAAAGAAAATTCAACAAAACAAGGAGGCAATTTTTTTAAATCTCGATTGTATGCTTGAAGTATTCTGATGAAGTGAAGGCGTTTCACAGGTAGTTTGGAGTTACTGAATTTGTTTCCAACTCGAGGTATGTTTTAAGAGCATTCTTGTTATCAAGGACCATTGCGCTGTACTGAGGAAAACACAGAGATAACTTTGGAACAAAGCCAAAAACTGTCTCTAATAAAATATGACTTTTTTTAGAAAACTTTTGAACTGTTCTCTCGCGGAATCCCTCATTTCTTATTTAAACATGGGTATCTTGTCTGGAATTCCACATTGAATTTTACGGAAAGAACCATCTTTTGCTGAAATTTTTAGTGACCAGGTGCCGCATGCAACAGATTTAATGATGTTTTGTCCCTCCGTAAGCAATATAATATTTTCGACTCTTTCATGCATACCTACGTCATCGTCCTCTTCAAGCTTAGAATCCGGCTCCTTGGAGATTTTAGAGTTTTTATTGGTTCTCTTCTGCTTCCCATTACTTATTGCCTTTAAAAAAATGAGATAAAAATATGTGCTAATCATTTCTACGTATCAGTTAAATGATTAGAACAAGTCATTATTTCTTCATTCCTATAGTTATTAAAATTTCACGAATAAAACATATTTTATTGGAAATTGCTCATCAAGTGGCCGCCATTGTAAGAGTTGAAATTAGAAACTTTTTGATGAGTATTACATGTTTGCAAACGTGATACAGTAATTTGCGAGCGGTTTCGCAGATGACGTTGTTCAAGCAGGTGATACATTTGAATTTATTTTTAAACATCATGAGTGGCGGTAGCCACCACCGGGCAAGTAACCTATCCTCCAACAATTGGCAACACAGCACAGCCCGGTCGAGGCAACGACACCATAGTTACACGAACTTGGCTTATTTGGGTTTTTAGTTGCGGTCCGGTAAACTTTTAAAATTCAAGATTACCTACACCAAAAGGTCAATTCCCAAATCGCTCTTGTTAAGTTCCATGGAACTTTCTTGAGTAGGTTAAGGTTGCCAGATTGTGTGAGAAAACCCGGATATTTTTCATTGAGCTTCATAGGAAAATGTACTGAATTTTCGGTATAATCTAGTGACAGTAAAGTGCAATATTCTCACTCATTCATTCCAAAATCTTATACCCGCTCTTTCCTCTAATCTTATTCTCTCCTTTCAGTAATTACCTTGTCGATTTTTATTGTAGAGTTATTATTATTTTTTTAGTGCTACGCACTAACCTGTAAGTAAGATGGGAAATACCTTGTCTGTTAGCTCAAAAATCGTGTTCAAATCCCTCCAGTGTTTCCGACCCTCAGGTAACAAGAAGAAGATTAGATCGTTCCAGTACCATGGCTTTACGATCCTTTGCATCACCATGTGAGAGACACTAAAATACAACATATACTTGAAATAAATGAAAAAATACATTTTACTAATAATATACTCTTGTTATCACCCCAAATGGGGGCTTAAGGGGATCTTTATTTTTATAATTGGACTACATTTTGCAATTTGGAACTATGATTTCTGGCTCAGTTTAGAAACAACGTATGTACCATTGGTTTCCCTGTGCACATAAATGTTTTCACAGATGAGCCAAAAATTGTAGTTCTGGATTGCAAAACGAAGTACAATTACGTTTTTAATTTTATTTTTGTTTCCTGGTCGAGGAAGGGGTTGAGACCACCCCGAAAAGTCGCAGGTTTTTATGTATCTGTTTTTAGCGTTCTTTACTCATTGTTTTGTGTTTTTTCTTGTAAAATAATACATGTGTTTAATGGTAGTTACCTAAAATATACCGAGAGCTGAAAGTTTTTTCGGATCTCGGGAATCAGTTTTAGAGCGAAGGCAATACAAAATATAATAGACGGATATTAAAAACATGATTACCGCCAAACTACGGAAGAAATAACACATTGAAAAATAGGAAATCTGAGCAGGAAAAAACTCTACCGGCGATGACAGAAAGTATCATTGATAAAAGGTTTGGTGACAAACAATCAAGGCTCAGATTTAATTAAGTTTAAGGTTCAGTTTGAAGATTCATATTAAAAGTCATGAGAACTTGCGAAAAGCGACACTTGGCACGGGTAATGCTGACAATGCTCCCGTGCTAAGGATAAACGCAGTATGAACATTCGAGAGTTGCCGAATTTCTTTCGATAAAATGTTTCTTTTTAAAAAAAAATGTTGAATATTTTTCCTTGAAATTTTCAGACACTTGAGATCAAATTACAAACAAAATTATATTTGGCAGAAAAATATTCAAAAAATTTCCTGAAAATTAGTGATTTGCCGAAGGAAATTTGGAAACGCCTAAAGGCTCATACGGCGTTTTTCCTTAACACGGCAGAATGGTGAGAGCAGGGCATCTTAAACTAATTACAAGTATCTTAAACACAACTTCCACGTCGTAAGCTCTGATTCGAGCCTTTTATGCACTCTCGAAGGCTCATTAAGCAAAAGAGTTTAGCACAAGCATTTAAGTCACCGGGAGGGTTTCTAAAAATTTAAAAAAAAAAATGAAAGTATATTTTTCACATTGTAAGCTTGGAAAATTTTCGATTTAAAAAGAAAAAAATCTTAAATTGGATACATACTTTCACATTTTATTTTCACTCCCTTTCATCCTCAGAAAAAGGAAGAATAACTGAAAAATAAACAAATATTTAGTCATTGTATTTAGCATAGAAAAAATTTCAAAATACTTACTCCTCCACTGCTCGAATGTAGTCGTGATTTGGATTGTTCAGGGCATCAACTTTGAATCCCATTGCAATTTCTAAAACATTAAAATTTGAAATTTAGATGTAAATTTAAAAAAGTAAGTGAGTTTTTAGAATGTCACCTCAGTTGGAGCTTCAGCCCTTCCCCCTCCCCCCCCAAAAAAAAAAAATCCGAGAAAATATCGTGAAGTCTCATCACTTCCACGTTTGAGGAGGCGGAGAAGGTAGATAATGAATTTGATATAGAGAAGTTGATAGCAGCAGTAACAGGCGCACACATCACAGCTGTGCTGATGACTCTATGAAGGAAAAAAATTACGAATGCGTTTTCCCCCTTTATAATGAGTCCAATTATAAAGGGCTAAGACTTTACCTCTCAACTTTTTCGTCTCTAATCTGAATGGCGCTCAACAGTCACTCTCATTTATCATCTATTTCCCGCCAATGTTTGAACTACCTATTTTTTTATTTTAATAATTCTGTAAATTGGCAAAAGTAAGGAGACTCTATATATCTGCGGAATGTTTCGCTACACCAGCTGAGATACAATATGATGAACAAGATCAAGGAGCAGTGAGCACCCAGTAGAGAAAAAACACGGATGAACTCCAAAGTAGTGAATCAACTTCTGCCGGAGTCAAGGATTCATTCATTCGAATTTTAGAATCGCCTTCAAAACGAAGGTTATGTAACCCCACGACGGCCGAGTTTGAAAAGTTATCGCTCAAAATGCAGGAGGATTTTGAAGGCGCGAACAGCCCCTGAATACAATGGAAGGATACTTAATCCAATCGAAAAAGAGCATTTCCTTCAAATAGATCTATCAATTACCACAATAGGCGAATTAGAATTTTTATTTTGACCAGGCAATTATCTTTTAGATGTTATTCAAAAATTAAATAAAGTGATTTTAAAATTACAAACCGCAAATATTGTCCAAAGCAAGCAATCTCATTTTGGAGAACACTTCAACAGGAGTTCCATCGCGATTTTTGCGTAACTGTTGAACGAGTGTGAGAGTATTGTTGATGAATACTTGGCAAAAATCACTCAAGGCCGAGAAGTGAAAAGCAGGAGCGATCATCTTCCTGCGACGTTGCCACGTTTCCCCTGCGAAAAACCCAGAGAATACGTTAAAATTTTAGAGAATTCGAACCTAACTCGAGGTTTGTTAAAAGAAAAATAAGAATAAATTATTCAGGTAGTTGTAACTGTCGCAGACTGACAGTTAAATTGTCTTCTTGTCCAATGCCTTGACCAATATCTTTGTCCAATGCTCTGTCCAGTGTTTGAATCCAATCTATTGTCTTTTCGGCAGATGGACAAACACTTGCTTTCCGAAGACCCTTATATCTTAGAAGACAAAAACGGTCTGAGTTTTATCAACACAGTGAAGTAATATATTAAGTAAAACTGTGATTGAGATATGATTGTTTTCTTAAATTGTAGTGATCAATATCAATTTCGCATATATTCTTATGGGTTTCAGGGCTCGTGTCTTGATGCACATAGTTCCGTTTGGCAAAAATATATCCTTATATCGATGGTGAAACTGCAGTAATTTATTGCGGCGTTGCTAGATTTCTGTCATGCTTCATTTTCTACATGAAAAACTGTACTAAACGTAATTCCTCAAAAACTTCGGTAATTATTCTTATCTCTTTAAAGAAGATTCTGTAAAAATGTCAAGCCATAATGTTGGTTCGGCCCCTTTTTAAAAAAATAAAATAGAACCGGAGATACTGAAATACCGCAACCGAAATACACATGTTTGTAGTTTGTTTCACCTTCAATTTAAGACTTTCTCAATCTGGTCTGCACTATGCTGGGCATCTCAGATTCTTATATCCGCGGACAAGGTCGCACCATATCTTTGTTTCTTTTTTCGTAAATACTGACCTATAATCTATATCCACGCAAGAGCGGATGAATTAAGCATTATATAAGCGGAAAAATGTTCTACTTTCTCATTCGATTCAAACTTCAACAAAATTGCAGTTTCTTGAACTGTGGAGCATAACCAAATTCTAAGGTTGAGTGATTGACTCAAAATATTCAGTTTTTTACCAAAATAATAGCTGTGCGATTTTTGTTTACAGTGTTGATTTTTCTGCACGTGGGCAGAAGAAAAATCTGTAAATCTCTTAGTCAGGAATGCCTGAGAGTTTCCTTTTAAAAAATACAATTTGCTAGTAAAACATTTGAAAAATGAATTAGCCACTTTTCCAGTGGATAATCGAACTAGTATCTTGCATAGTTTTCACACTTGGACAATTTTTAACGGAAAAGTAATGGATGGAATCAGTTGAATATTTCTTTTTTAATCAAGATTAATACCTGAAATTTTCATGTACGTATGCGGAGCCTTAAAGAAAAAACTGAAACAATATTGGGATGTAAAAGCGTGATGTCTAAGCGTATATCGACGGTGAAACTACCAAACCACGTATCTCGTTTGCGGTGTTTAAAAATCTACGCTCACATTTTATTTTTTTGAAGTAGACCAAATCAATATCATTCCTTGAAATTTTCACGGAATATTCTCCGCACAAAGAGGAAAAATCACAGAAATTTTCAAGACTGAATGTTAAGTAGTCTTTCATTTAAAAAATAAAGTATGGCAGGAAGTCTGCGACGTCGCAAACCGAGATACGTGGTTTGGTAGTTTCACCGTCGATATGGTTCTGGTAAAATTGTATTTAGGTCGGAAACGACGAAATGTGAAGTCATCAGCTCTAGATTATGGGTCAATTTCTGCCGAGCTAAGGAAAGACGCCGTATGAACCTCCAGGCGTTGCCAAATTTCGATTGATGAAACACGAATTTTCTGGTAAACTTATGAGTATTTTTCTTCCAATTTTTCAGCTAATATTGTTCGCAATTTCACCTTAAGTCACTGAAAATTTCAAGGAAAAATATTCATAACTTTCCTCAAAAAGAAACACCTTATTGAAGTGCAACTCTCGATTGTTCATATGGCGTTTTTCCTTAGCACGGCAGCTTTAGAGTATGAAGAGAGAGCATTTAAAGTACTCGTCTGAACTTGTAAGCACTTCGAAAGTTAAGATTGGACCTACCTCGGCTATTTAGAAGTCCAAGTCCGACCCAGACATGTAAAAACCGATAAATATCCGCTTTGGTCTCCACGGCCTTAGCCGTGAAGAATACCTGCACAAAGTGAGAATTTCTATAGTCGGCCAAAAACGGACAACCTCATCGCAATAGTAACTATCTATAATAGAAAACAATCTTAGAATGGGCACACGTATATTCAAGCATGGCCATGTCTCTTACCATTCGAGATAAGAATTATTTTTCAAAAAATCGTTTATTTTCACAGTTACCTATATTTATCTAACATCCAGACAGAGGAGATTTTGTTGGATCATCCTCAGAAAAAGGGACCTTAGTTCATGAAAGCAATTTTTTTAGTGAACCGTTTTTACGGAGCTGGGTAGAAAAATAACAATTTGAGAATTTGACGGAATAGGTAATGCAACGCCCTTAATAATACGGTGGAGTGGTTTACTTCACTTTTGTGCCATTTTATGACTTAAAATTACAATATAATATAAGCCGGCAACCTCGGTTTTCAGCAAAGCATTGAGTTGGAGGATGGGCAGCAGATCAAAGGCTGCGAGCACTTTAAGTACTTGGGAGTGCGGTTGACCCAGGATGGAAGGACGGATCAAGCTATCAGGGAAAGGAACACCTTAGCAAGGAAGGCTATAGCGATGTTAAATGGAATCCTCTGGGATCAGCGGATTTCCAAAGATAACAAGAGGAGGATATACAACGCTGTAGTCAAAAGTATATTAACATACGGATGTGAAGTTTGGCAGCTGAAGAAACGGACACAGGATATGCTAAGAGCAACGGAGATGGATTTCTGGAGAAGGTCAGCAGGAATTTCTAGGAGAGATCGGGTCCGTAATGATAGAGTGCGTCAGATAATGGAAGTCGAAAATGACATCGTGTTCGACGTCATGACCAAACAACTTGTTTGGTATGGTCATGTCAATAGGATGACGGAAGAGAGGCTGCCAAAAAAGATGCTTGATTGGGTTCCTCCTGGGAGGAGACGTAGGGGACGCCCAGTGAGAGGTTGGCGACAGGGGGTGTTAAATGAGATAAGAGATTGTCAACTCCCTGATGACCTGTGGGAAGACCGAGCTTTGTGGCGATTAGGCGTCGCACAGCGCCAAAGAGCGCTATAAAAGCGACTCATATATATATATAACCTCGTTTTTCGATCAAATTGATAGCTTTTTCTCTAATTTTTTTTTGCACGGCAAAATCGAAACTGCTAGAATTCTGATTAAATTCAACATTTTTGGACAAGATTTTGCTACAAAATATATTTTTAGAATGTGTTCTTTCATGCTCTGCTATCAATATACCAATTTTAAGTCTTCACTAAGCTCCTTAAGTCATTGTTGGGCGAAGGTCCCTTATCCCGTGGATGGTCACAGCTCAAATAGAAGGACATATTTTTTCATTCTAAAATGTCATTAAAAATCAACAAATGCATAAATTAAATCAAAATTTTGCACCATGCGGCTGTTTATTTTTTTTCTTTATTTTATGTTATTTTTTTTTTTTAAAAATTGATAATACTTTGCTGAAGAAGGAAAACAATCGATGAAAACGGCAGAAAGGATAATGAACTATGGACATTCTGTTTTCTTTACATCCAATCAATTAAGGCTCGTTCCTGCATCGAAACTGACCTCTGGGGTGATCATTTGAAATCTAAGAAAAATTAATATCACGAAACGTACCTCTGCGTACTTGGCGTCTGAGATGAAAACAAATGGGTAGCCTAATATCCACGTTCTGTATATTCCTCCCCAAGTCTTAAAACGCCGGATAGATTCTTTCGGTACATCTAAAAAAGAAAAAAAAATTCGAAAAATGGTAAAATTGATAGGACGTCTCCTTGAGCAAAAACAATTAGGTTGGATGGTAGGAAAAATGACTTTAAAATTGGCAAGTGCGTGAGGCTTCGTTGCTTAAAATAAGTTCATATTGGGCCTCTAAAACTTAAAAAAAGTTCTGAGCTTCCATAATATTGCTATTGGACTTGATGGACAAAGTTATATGGACTTAAAAGAAAAGGGTATAGCGACAAGCGATCCTAATGGTTGAGACGGGAGGTTTTATAGGGGGGGGGAGTAATGGACTAAGCATAGGGTATCTCGTGAATCGGCATTAGTTGGTGTATTACATGTACATGTATGTATTGGTCCTTAGTCAATTGCAACCACTTACTTCCAACATCGTTCAAGTTTCTCTTATTCTCATTTGTGCATAAGCTTTGCCTATCATTTTCAATAATTAGGGATGGTCTACAAAGTACAAAACCACGTACCTCCATGCGTTTTTGCAAAATCCTATTTCGTTTCTTCAAAGAAAAGCAAGCCAACTTTTTAGTTTGAACTTTATATAGAATAGCCTCCTAATAGAAAAGAAAACTCAGGGCAGTTCTCAAGAATTGTCGTTGACCTGTTTGCCAAATTAAGAAAAATTACGACAAGAAGACCGGAACTTTGCATGCGGAGATACGTGGTTTTGCAATTCTGCCGTGCTAAGGAAGAACGCGGTATGAGCCTTCAGACGTTGCCAAGTTTCCTCGGATAAAAACCGAATTTACTGGGAAAATTATGAATATTAATTTACAACATTTTCAGAAAATTTTGTACGCAATTCAATCTAATATACATATCTGAAAATTTCAAAGAACAGTATGCACGAATGTCGTCAAAAATATATGTTTTATCAGGCAAAATTTGACAACTCTCGAATGTTCATACGGCGTTCTTCCTTAGCACGGCAGAATTTGGCCATCGATCGTCATGTCAATCATGTCATCGTAATTACATAAACCTACCTTCGGGAGCAACTACCGTTTCCTTGATGTTTCCGATGAATGTGTTTTCTAGTTCTGGGCCCGGCAGTTTTTCGATCAAGCACCATTGGCGTCGCCATTCAAGTAATCGCTGGATGAGTCTGTATAGTAGATAGCAACATAATATTGTGAAATACATTATATTCACTAATTTTGGAATGAGTAACACCAATGTCTCAAGGACGATGCATTCACTGAACGAAAATATTAAATCTGAAGAAAAAATCACATATCTTTGTGCTGAACAACAACCGAAAATTTCGATTTCCAAAACGTTTAATTCATGCGAGGAGAGAATTCAAGAGTAGTTCAATTTAGCCGCGTTATTGAAAGGAAGTAGTATTTATTAACTGACTCACACCGGCACGTAATAGTTACGGATACACTACACTGTTTTTTATTCAGTCATTCATTACTTCCTCTAAAAAAATTACCTAGATTTTTTTGGATTGAGAAAAATCAGCTTTATATGAAGAATTTAACAGTAATTCCCGGAAAACACGGAATACACCACATCTGTCGTGACTTGAATTCAAACACTACTCTGCAAGTCAAATAATGGAGGTTATCAGCTAGATGTGATAGCAATTTATCAGAAAAAGTTTCTTACACACGGTATTGCTATGAATATCATGCATTATATCAAGTTCAGTATCGTCATTGTAAAATTAGGTCTTAAAAAGTAAGTTCTCCATGATGCGGAAAGTCGTGTATGTACAGGAATAAAAATAGTCTTCATTATCAGACCTCGGAATTTCAGAAGACTATGAAACTTTCACAACTTCTTGATTGATTTATGACGTTATTGCTTAGGACGGCAGATTTAAGGAGACACGATATCTCCCATGAAAGAGTGTTTAATCACGTACTATCATCGATTTACTTTCGGCCAACTTCTGTCCTGATTTAAAAAAAAAAAAAAAAACAAAGAAAAGAATCTAGTGGCATTTCGATGTCCAATGGTAATTTGTTATTATGCACCAGATGTAGCAATGGTAATATCAGAAAACACTGGTTTTCTGATATTTGGCTAACGCAGGTGGACAACATATAACATACTTCATATTTTGCACAATATCTGAACGTTTTAAATACCTGGAATTTTGCGTGGTTTGTTTGTGGATCTGAAATATTCTGCAAATACATATTTCACACAAAAAATTAGTCAGTTTTTTGGGGAAAATACGGCATCAGCGGGAATTTCAACAGTATCAATTGAGGTTCTTGTTTCTTCCAGGTTTTATTGTTAAATATTTTAAAGCAAATGAATCTCTAAGAGCCGAAACTAAGTCGCTTTATAAGCTGCATTTTATTAATTTTTAAAAACACATGTTCTTACAAGATCAAAATTACAATATTATTAGGTGAGATCATATCAACATAAAATTCTTAGAACTAGAGAGTAGAACCAAAGACTATTAATACAATTAGTGGTTTTGAAAATCACGGTGCAACCACATAGCAAAACGCTGAGATCTTGACATTTATTGAAAAATTTGTTGTTGTTGTTTTCCCCTCGGAATTGAAGAAAAGGGAGAGGGAGGAGCAACATGAAACATTTCAAACCTGCGAACTAGATATGCAAGATTTTTTAATGAATATTGTGACCTGACATGAGCACAAGAATTTAGTCAAAAACTGCCCAACATGATTTTATGGGATTTTATGCCGAACGACTGACCAGTCAACAGTTTAAATGCTAATATTGCTGAACAGACTGAAGTGTAGTAAAACAGAGTATTTTTATAGGGCTGGTATGGGCACCGATGAATCCATTTCATATGATCAGCCATCCCAGGCTATACTGCCGTGCTAAGGAAGAACGCCGTATGAACATTCGAGAGTTGTCAAAACTCCCTTGATAAAACATGTATTTTTTACAACATTTATGCATATTTGTCCTCATAATTTTCAGATATTTTAGATTAAATTGCGTAAAAAATTGTCTGAGAATTTTGGAAAATAATATTCGCAATTTTCCCAGTAAATCCAGTTTTTATCCAAGGAAACTTGGCAACGCCTGAAGGCTCATACGGCATTTTTCCTTAAAACGGCAGTGGTCCCCGAGGGAGAAAATGACGACAACTTGGGTGAATTGATGGAGTGTTGGACCTTCAAGGGCGGCCCCGGAAAGAAGTCTCGCCTACGATGTCGATGAGTTCTTCCTCCTCGCCGTCGTCCACGTCGGAATCGGTTTTGGCCGACGTCCATCCCAGGCTCGGTTTGTGTTCCACGTCGTGGACGTTAAACGCCCCCGCGGGCTGGAACCCCGGCCCCACGTAAGGGTAGCTTTTCGACGAGAAGTCAACTGGCCGGTCTCCTGGAAAAAAGATATAGGTCGATGAGTAGGGGTGGAATAAGTCGAGAGGGGACTGCGCTAAAAGAAAGGCATTTCGATAAAACTTTGGTCGATTCAGTACTGCCGTGCTAAGGAAGAACGCCGTACGAACCTTCAGGCGTTGCCAAATTTCCTTTGATAAAACACGGATTTCCTGGTAAACTTGTGAATATTTTCCTTCGAACTTTTTAGACAATTTTGTTTGTAATTTCATCTAAAGTTCCTGAAAATTTCAAGGAAAAATATTCATAACATTCCACAGAAATGCATATTTTATTGAAGGAAATTTGGCAACTCTTGAATGTTCATACGGCGTTTTTCCTTAGCACGGCAGAATAGCGTGGCGTGCTCTGCCATGTATCCGTCGCAAGCAATTAGCAATCGCCGGCAAATTGCAATATAATCATGTTAAATCAACAAATTAAAAAATTTTGAAGTGTAAAAACGAGATAAGAAGTAGTGATTATTATGCTTTGAATTTAAACATACGTTATCCTCTTCTTCTTGAATACATGGTACCAGCTAACACACTCACGAGTTCGTGAAATGTACTCAATAATTTGCGTTGGGTTTGGTTTGGTTAAGCAACTAAACTAACTCCCTGGCAAAGCGGGGAGTATCGCGGGATTTGAAGGCGTTCCAAGATGAGGTCGTGCCTTGAATTTCTTTCTTAAAGAAACCTTTACTATAACGATGTTATTGTAATTGCACTTTGACGAATTGGCAAGTACGGAGCTTGCAAATTGCCGAAAATTGCTGATTGCGTGCGATATATCTATTGATCTCCAATTCAAACCGATTGAAAAGGATCGACAACCTAGGGGTGTTCACTGTTCATGACGTAACAATTTTTTTTTCACCAAAATGACGCACTATCCTAAGAATATTTGATTATTCGAAAGACTGGTGGACGATGGAGGAAAAACGTATTTTTCGGATTCATCAGCAAAAAAAGGTGTCCAGTCCCATGAGACACCAAGGTATGCAATGCCACCGTCGAGCAGTCCATTACCGGCTTGGTGAACCATATTTTAGACTCAAAGACCCAAGACAAGCACAGCAAACTTAGAACATGACTGGAGGCCTTTAATTAGGTTTATGTGTCCGCAGTGCACGAAAGCCATAAGAAGCCTTCAAGATGCAGGAACTCCAAAGTGACCCGCTAATTTTCAAAGAGGACGAGGAGTTTCTGCGTTGTTTGGTCAAGACTAAGTTCTTGTGTCGCTCTACAGATTTTGAACTTGGAGAAAGTGGCACTTGACACCTGATTAGTGGGGAGGCTTTTAGGCTCTAACTTGGAGGCATTGCCTAAGATTTAGAGTGCATACTGCTAGAATAAAACATTCCAAGTTGGTGAAAATAGACACAACTTTTTTTGGAATGGAGAATTTGCAGGTGTCTGAAGTTTTGTGAGTTTCGTGCTTAATTGGAAAGTACTGATTGGACTCAACAAGAGGATACCCTTGGTTCATAAATTGAAAAATTATCGGAAGAGGTATGAGAAAATAACCAAATCAGCTACAATACATGTGTTTAAAGGGAAAATGTTTCAGATGACGACACAAGGCGCATCTACTTTTCTCCAATTTCCCAAATCAGAGAAAAAATATGAAAAATACTGCAAAATCAGCACTTTAATTACTCTCAAGCAATACAAAATTTGCGTGCAAAGATGGCCTGCTAATTTAACTCAAAAAAAGAGAAGTTAGTTATTACCGTACTTGCCGTCTGTTGCGTGTTACGCAACGTTATCTTCTAAATTCGCCCCGAGACAGTTTTTTGTCTATCCTTTTTTCCCTCATATTTTCTGTCTCTCTTTTTGTCTCTCCATGATAAGCATTTTAAGGCCTTAAGCCAATGCTTGCATACAATCAGACACACCATCTCATTTCTTTAAAATCTTTTTTTTTTTTTTTATCGGTGCATCGGATGGCTAGTGCAATATAGCCTAAAAGTTGCTTTTCTGGCCCTACGTGCCCTGCTAAGTAAGTAAGCGAAGTAAAGTACATAAGTAATCCTAGGGACGGATTGGCCCGGGGAGCTGGGGAGCGTTCGCATCCTAAACTTTGACCAAAAAGGGATCCGCATGGAGCACTTATTACGGTACAAATAGAGGGCTCCATTGGGTACTTTCTGAAATATTACGAAGGGTTCCTTCTTAGAGGAGAGCAGCCTATTCCTCTCTTCAACAGAGCCTGCCCACCGGAAAATTAAAATCCTGTCGGCATTTAAAAAGCCTTATATGTAATGTATATATATTTATATGTGTTCAAAATTATTTTACAAATAATTTTAATCTATTGGAAGCCACTATAGTTACATAAAAAACTTACCATGCCCTCAAATGCTACGTAAAATTTAAAAACTTTGAAAACTTTGGGACACAAAATGGACACCTGCGAAAATTTTATTGAAAAAGTTGCAAAATCTGAATCCTTGAAGCTGTCTCTCGGCTCATAGATTTACAAAGTACCTTATCTGTACCTGTCGCCTTGGTACCAATTACTTTTGTCCTGTACTCGCATTCAAGAAAAGTTGAATAATAATTAGCTTATAATAGCACAGTGAAAGAATGGCACAGAAATTAAATGTTTAACTGCTAATTTAAACTCAGAATCTTAACTCAAAGTTTGAAAACCAATTAACACTCACGATTTTAAATTTGAAACTTTAAAAAATTCACACCAAGACGTTAAAATAGTCTTCGATAGCCGAGTGCTAGGACAAATGCAATTACACCGGACTTCTCAGAATAAAAGTTTTTAACAGAGCAGAAACGTGATTTTGTTGAAATGCAGGGCTTTTTCAAAGAATAGTATTCACGCCTCAAAGACCCTACTTCATTTGAGTCTTTCTTCAAGCAAAGCTTTCAATTATGAGTTATCTCGTTTCGCTGATCACATACAGTTCAAACGGCGCGCCGCGACAATGTGGACAAGCGAATGTTAATTATGCGTGTTCACTGTTGAGTTCAATGAAAATATACGATAATCATGGCGCGCTGCTCATGCATTGCAAAAACTCTGATTTCCCACGGGAGATAAGCGAATCCTCGCTCATCATCGCCTTGAAATTATTCCTTATGCTATTCTCGTCTCAGAGAGCCTCGATGTCAGGCACGTTTGCGCGAAAAATTAGGGACTCGAATTTCGGATAGCGTAGATCTGAGGATCCTATTTGATGAGGGATTTCATTTACGTCGTGCACTGGAAAAAAAAATTGCTTTTATCCAGAGTCCGGACTCTCAGTAACATTGACCAGAAAAAATACTTTTGATTCAATCCGATTTTTTCTTGAATTGAAGAGCCAAGCCTCTTGATTTAGACGCATTTCCTTTTGTTTCAAGCAAAAAATCCGATTGAATCAAGGGTACTTTTTCATGTCAATGTTTTTAAAAGTCTAAACTCTAGATCCAAGCGACTTTTTTTCCAGTGAGAGGTGATTGGACTAAGTTTTCAAATGAACCACTATTTTTAGCTCATTCTAGGAAGAAAATTAATTAGTGCCCCGATACGAACGCTTATTTCTAGGATGAGTCAAATGGCTCCTCATTGCAAAATTCAGTGCAGTTATTGACGCACATTTAATGGAAAAATGTAAAAATATTTTCACTTTCTGAGGAAGTATAATAAAATCGTATTTTTAGTGAATGATGTACAACAAACGTCAGCATTCTAAATTAGAACGCATCGATTAGGCATTAAATTTACTCAAATTTTGTAAAAAACTTTATCTTACCGATTTTTATACCGGCATAGAATAATCTGTAAAAAAAGGTTTTTACAAAATTTAACAAAGTAAGGCCGATAGGTAAAGTCAACAAAAGGAGTGATTAAACTTAGCGTTAGCACAATTTAAAAATCTTAATTTTAAATGTGCATTGGTTTTAATTTATTCATTTTATGTATTTAAAAAAAAATACATAAATCCCTTTAAATTTATTTACTTTCTTTGTCGATTGAGATAGTTTCTCTGTTTCACGCAATCAGAATATACCTTTTCCTCGAGAGACTTTGAACACTCAAAAGGAAACATATTATGAATATACTATTATCTAACAGGAATCGAAAAGGCAGAAGTTTCTTTTTGTGAGTCAAGGAAAAAAAGTAAAAAACTCTGAACGAAAAATTACCTGATTTTGCTATTGAGCCACTAATATTGTCTAAATTAGATTTACAGCCTGGCGATTTCGAGTTATGTTTTTCCTCGTTTAATTTCCTCAGCTGCTTTTTATGTTTCATCCGTCGATTTTGAAACCAGGTTTTGACCTGTGAAAGAAAAAAAAAACCTGGCAATAATATAGGTTTCCACGCAGAGACCTCAATAGTGAGCAAAGTCAATAACAATCCATTAAAGAAGAACACTCGTCCGAGTTTGAAACATTTTGCAGAGGCATATTATGGTATTGATTTTCAAAATTTTGGGGGGCGTCAGTTCCATGAAGGTATAACGCAGCCTTCTATGTGGACGAGACTTCTACAGTGGTGTGACGTGCTTAGTGCTTAGCGAGGTATCGATTGGTCTGTCATTTAAACCTATGGAAACGTATCGATAAACTGAGTGTTGACAACGTAAATCGTTGTAATCGATCCTTTACCATAGCTTCAAATGGGGAAATATCGATAATCGATCATTTACGCCTCCCCACTGGACTTCCTTGTTTGAAGTTACGTCGTCAGCAGCCTGATTGTTGAAATTTTGTGTTTGTCGGTAGGCATAGATGACATAGGTTAAAAGGCGGAGCCGCGGAGCGTGATTGGTTAGCTATGTCTTACCGCTGCTTTATGCCTATGTCAGTTGGAATGAACGGCATACTGTCAGAAGCTTAAGAGGTGCCTTCGGTTTGTCGTGAGTTCCATTCGAAATAGGCACGACAAAGCAGCGATAAGACATAGCCGACCAATCCCGCTCCGCCTTTTAATCTCTATGTCATCTATGTCTACATGACAAACACCAAATGTCAACAATCAGGCTGCAGCCAACCCAACATGTTAGTCCTCAATCATTTGAAATTCGAGCATTTCGTTGGGTAGACTGTTTCTGGTGGAAAATGGTTTCTGGTAGTGGACTAATTTTTGTTACAGATTGTCTAAGGCTGAATAACATTATCTCCTAGTTTGAAAAAATGTGTGGAAGATATTATGATTTACACATATTAAAACTAGTACTTCACCTGCGTCTCCGACAAATGCAGTGCCGACGCTAGTTCTACTCTTTCGGGTGTGCTGAGGTACCTTTGCGCCTCGAACCTCTTCTCCAGTCCGGTCAACTGGTGATCCGAGAACACAGTCCTGGCTTTCCTTCTGCGGCAGTGTTTGGCGCCCAGGTCACTTGCGCCCCCCGTGAATAGGGATCCAAAAGGTAAACCTAAAAAGATAACGTTCGATCAGAGGCATTCCACCGACTCAAGATTTAGAGGAAGTTTTGACCTGAAGATTTTACCTTCAGTTTTCGAGGTAGGCAAAAGAAATGCCATTATGAAGAAATCGTTTTACACATTAGAATGCGTACCACGTCTTCAAAACTGCCATGCTAGCGAAAAATGTCGTAAGTATATTCGAATTTGTCCAAATTTCCTCTCAAGTAATATTTTTGAGGAAATTCAAGAACATTTTTCCTTGAAATTTTATAAAACTTTAGATTAAATTTAGAACAAAATTCTCTAAAAAATTGGGGGAAAAATTTCAGCCGATTTTTCCAGAATTCTTGATTTGCTCCCTATCTTTGCATGGAGAGTTTGTCTTGATGATAACATGGAGTCTCAGGATAGCGTGGGATATCCCCTCCATTACGCCGTCAACTTTGATAGCTTTTTTGGAGTGATTTCAGGGAAAACCAGTGGCACTATCGTGTTTCTCGCAAACTATTACATGAGAATCAATAATCAAATAGCAAATTTCTCACACATGCAACATCTCCATTTTAGAAAGGAACCACAACCAATTTTTCCTGCATGCAGTCATGCAGAAACCTCAATGAGTTCCTTATTTTTCGGCTTTTAGTTTGTATCATAAGTTTGTGGCGTTACCTTGAGATGTGAAGAAGAAAGGCTCCGAGGGGGTAGTTTTGTGGAGGTAGGATGTCGGATACGAGAGGTAAGCAGCCGTGACTGCTGCTGAGGGAAGCAAAGGGTAGCATTCCGCCGCTCTACTCATTGCTCTGCTCACCATCGAGGGGATCTGCAAACACCATGACTCATTATAAAACTACCAGATGGTCCGCTGCCGTGCTAAGTAAAAACGCCGTATGAACCTTCAAGCATTGCCAAATTTCCTTTAATAAAATGCGAATTTCTTGGTAAGCTTATGAATATTTTTCTTTCGGCTTCATGGTAAATTTCGTTCGCAATTTCACCTAAATTGCCTGAAAATTTCAATAAAAAATGATAATAGTTTTCCTACATTGTAAACATTTATGTATCCTCGGAAATTTGGCAACACCTAAATGCTCATATGGCGTTTTCCCCTAGCCGCTACACGGTACAAACCTCACAGCGTGCTTCGCCCCCTCTAAAGCTCGCTTTGAGGGCCCCAGTGGGTAAACTTAAAAAGAGCTGGCTCATCAGGGACTATCTCCTACCGAAAGCAGCGAAAATGATGGAAATTGGCCCGATAGATCTTTCGAACGAACTGTGACAAAATATTGTTTTCGTGAAATTTGAAATCTTTATCGGGTGATGTTTAAAACTGCATCGGTTAAATTTAAACCTTCATCAGGTAATGCATAAAGGCCTCTGGACCATATATCCAAAATCTGCATAGAGCGGACTCGTCTAGAAGGACTATTACTTGTCGACAGTCGCAAAAAATTTTTGGAGAGACCGGGGGAGGGGGCGACTGGCTATGTGTCACCCATGATGGTGTAAAAATGAGTTCTATCATACGGCCGTGCTAAGGAAGAACGCCGTATAAACATTCGAGAGTTGCTAAATTTCCTACGATAAATTGTATATTTTTAAAGAAAATTGTGAGTATCTCCCTTGAAATTATCAGACACTTTCGATCAAATTACAAACAAAATTATCTGAGAAATTGGCAGAATAACGTTCATTAATTTCTCTGAAAATTAGTGATTTGCCAGAGGAAATTTGGCAACGCTTGAAGGTTCATACGGTGTTTTTTCTCGGCATGGCAGAATATACCCTTGTCCGTGGGAGTCTGAAACCCGCCCTAAAGCGAGGCATGCAAATAGTATGGACATCGGTTGAATAGAATGTTGGAACGAAAAGTGGCAAAAATTAAATGGTAGAGGATCAAAGAGCCTATAGAAAAGAAGATACATTTTACTATTGATACCAATCGGTTAAATTGCCAGACGGCAGATCCATCTTTTTCGAGTCACGTTAGGGCTTCTTTTTTCTGAGGAATTTTTTACCCAAATGTGCTCAACCGCTCACAGTTAGGACTTCGCCCTTTCTCAAATATTTAACGAAATCGTGGAATTTTTTCTATTACATTTTTGCGACGCTGACGGACCAAAACTTGGTCGTTTTCAGCGATTAGCGACACTTTGTCTACAGCGTTTTAAATGTTTAAAGCCACTTTTAATGAAATTAAAAACAAGCATCGCAACTTACTGCTCCTTAAATGCATTGCACCTACTACGTTCAACTGGCTCTTGAGTAGGAAGTTAAGAGTTTGAGAGGAAGATCATCACAGGGGACGCGTTTTGGGTCTACGGGTATGACTCCGAGACAAAAAAACAGTTTGGATCGCACCTGGAAGATCTTGCCCGTAGAAAGCTCGGAAGAGTCGCAGCAATATGAAGACACTGTTGTCTGTCTTCTTCGATCATGAAGGTGTCGTCCATTATGAACACGCTACCCAATGCTCAACTATCAATAAAGAGAGCTACCGAGAAAATGTACGTAGCTTAAGGGGCCTTGGGGAGCATATTTATGATGGACGACACCTTCATAATCGAAGAAAACAGACAAAATGTTCTCAACATTGCTGTGACTCTTCCTAGCTTTCTACAGGCGAGGTCTCCCAGGTATGATCCAAACTAGCGTTTGCTTTTTTTTCTCAGGACTGTCAGGGTCGTACCCGTAGACCCAAGACGTGTCCCTTGATATGATCTTCTTGAAAAACTCTTCCCACCCCACTTTCCTTAACTTCCTCTTTTTTAGAAAAAACGAAATCCGACGATCACAGCAGAATAGCAAGCACTAATCAGCAAATTACCAACAACTGATTCAACGTGTGATAATCCGGCTGTGCACCTGCACTCAAGAGAGTCCCTGCAAAGGTAATCCCAAGCCCCGACCTCTTATCAACCGTTGATGGCGCTCAACAAGGCAATCAACGAGGTCGGATACTTTCCGGACAGACTTCGTGCATCCAGGAGTCGGAATAAACAAAGTTATCAAAAATTAAAATTGATAATTGAGATTTTTGATGCAAAGACTTTCTCAGTCCAAAAGTAACGATCAAAGTTTTTTCAAGAAAATTTCTAGTTATGATTTCCCATTCTTCTTTTTCTTCTGTTTCGCGACAGCCCTTCTATTTGTACAATGATTGTTAACGATTCGTAAAAATGTTAGTAGACAACTCCAGAAAAAAATTGTTAAAATGAATGTTTGGCATAATCTTTTGGGGTTTTTAAAAGTAAAAATAAGGAGCAAAATACAACTGAAAGTTAAATTAAAAATCAATTGAAACTGAACTTTTTTATGACACTTGAAATATTTGAAAAAGTATGTATAAAAATCCCTTAAAAAAAGGAGGTTTGTTTTAGGTCTTTTTCTCCTGAATTATCTCACAACTAAAATATCTATATATGTTCCCCAATACCATTTTATTATATCTCTCTTTTTTATGAAATTTCGGGAGATGCTTTTTTAATAGTGTAGTTAATCGTGAAAAATTATTTTCATTAGTTGCATCTTTTCCTGAGAACATACAAATATCCATTAATGGCATAATTTAAGGCATCATTTACATCCGTCAATCATTTCATTTAAAACTGTTACGGAGAAGCAACCAACCTGTTTGGCATTATTTTGAGACGACGCAGCTTTTGAGCGGCACAGAATATCCTTGATGAGAAAGGAAGAAGTTTGGTGGCCGGTGGAGGATTTGTGGATGTCCGGGATCTTGTCGAATTGTAGGCAATCCATCTTGTAAATGTCGAACATAAAATATCACTGAGTTGACTATTTATTACATCGATACATATAATGAAACTCAGAATAAAAAGTGACGAATTGAAGAAGCTTTCTTCATAATAAAACCGGCAAGGAGTTAGATTGAATCGAAAATAAGTTTATTAAATTGCACTAAGACGTTGAAAATACACCTAGTTTTTTGCTTTCTTGACTTAAGAGCACATACGGAATTTCGCAATATCGGGAAAAATCGTTGCCACAATAATGAGAAAAATTATAGAGTGCAGTTAAATGGATTCTTAACTGTTTACATCAGAGTTGATGAATTAACTAAAAGTGCACGTGGATGGCTTTAGAGAAAGAATTTCTAGGCAACAATCCACTCACGACAAGACAATAAAAATCAGTAATACCCGAAATTTATTTTAGTTGTGTGTAAACCGATTCAACCGCATCGGAACCATCAGTTCTTTATCCGGGGGAAAAATTAAAACTCAAACTTTGCACTTATTTGGAATTATTCTTATGATTGCAACAGAAATACGAATTTCAACAAGGACGAAGTATTCCGAAAAATCAGCCTTGACGTGATATGTAGTTTATAAGTCAATTTTCAATTGTCTCTTTCAGCACATCTTTCACGTGAACATAAAAAATGAGAAATTTCCTAAAGCTGAATAATGACCACGTTTAATCACTGGTAAACATGTTAAACTACTGTAGTTTGATTTTTAATAAAAATCATTCTCGAGGAAATTTTAAGAATTACACTTTATTGATTTTTATTTCCCGAAAAGAATCCCTCCGCGTCGACACTCAAGATCAATGACTAGAAAATTTGCAAAATTAATCGCGAAATTTCTGTGCATCGTAAACAAAAGGCGACAAAAGTAAATCTGGAACGATCTAAATCACTTGACACTCACATTTTAACATTTTTTTAAATATTTTCAAAAACACTTTAAAGTTCTGTTCAGTATTTCATTGATTCTGTCTCAAAAAAATTTACTCCTCGATCCGATTTGGGATAGATGGCTGAAAAATTTGCGGAGTAATTCATTACATTGCTGTTCACAAAAAAAACCACGACACAATGAATTTGAAAAAAACACTATAGAGGATGAGAATAACTAATCAGGGTCAGTACTAAATAAATATAATACATGAATATTGTAAAAAAAAATCCAAATTAAAAGCTGAAATTCAGACGGGTTGCGAACGAGTGTAAAACACGAGCGATAATCAACTAATAGCTGAACTTTTGATCCCTTCAAGCGACCATTTGCGTTTAAGCCCGGGATAAGTGTAAGCTGATTGATTTTGCGCCCGCTGGGGCGGTCCGGGGCGAGGGGGTTCGTTTTGAAGTCACCCCAATCCTCCATTACCGGATAACAGGGTTGTTTGCGTGCTTCTGATTGGCGCATCGATTACGGCGCCGCCCCCCATTGGCCGCCCGAGCAACCCCCGAGCGTCGCCATGGCGACGGCGAAATTAAACCCTTACACCGCTAAGCTCCTCGTTACGCCCTTCGAGATATATCGCCATCGACCGCGGTTGGAGACGGGACGCCCCATCAGCGCCACCTATCGCATTCTCGAGGAAACGCTGAGCTATTTTTTGCTTTGATTACCATCTTCTACCCCACCTCCGCACCCTCAATGCTTGCCAGATATCGCTAAAAAAATCTGCACTGGAGTTGAAAAAATTAATTTTGACCGTCCACGCTTGATTAAGGAACTTACATGATGAGTTCATGAAAGGGCTCATATGGGTGGTTTCACGATAACTAGAATAGTTTTGTCGCCGTAAGAGACAACACATTTTTCGGTCATATTTTTAGTATTAATGATAATCACTCAAATTTTTTTGCATTGATCTACATAGGGTTACGTGTCATAACGTTTTTCAACGATTTATCGCTCTACTTTTCCATTTCAACATATAAATGGCGAGAATGTGCCGGTTGTTACGCTGACTTTTTACCGCGTAACAGACAGCCTATTTTCGGAATTTACATAATTTAAATTTTTTTCCAGTGGTATTAATATTTTTAAGAAGAAACTTCTAACTCACACCTTGTCTAGCGGTCCATTTGTTTGTCAGGCACATGCAAACCTCTTCTCTCCTAGAGTCCCTTTTATAATGAGAGTTAAGACCATGTCAATCCATTTCTGATTGGTCCCCGTATTTTAGGCCTCCACAGTGTCACAAACGGGAATGAAGATTACATTTTCACCGATTGAAAAGAGTATAATCTAGAATGGACCGAGGGATTACGGGTTCGACAAGGAACAAACGAAATGAGAGAAGGAACGGAGAAAGGAACTTGAGAATGAGCCGATCAAAGATTACGAAAAATGTTTAATTTGTGTGGTTTTTATTCCCGTTTGTGACTCCATGGGGGTGTTGTCTTAACTCTCAGTAAAAAGGGACTCTACTCTCTCCATCTCTGATCTGCACTTTAGCCTACAGTCAATAAAAATATTGAGTTTTTTGCAAATTTGTCAGCCTTGCGCTCCCCCGCCCATGCAGCATGTTTCACTCGACGGATGTTTCTTCAGCCCCAACGTTCCCGCCTCCGTGAGAGCCGTGATTTAAAAAGCTTGTTATTAGGACGCTCATCATTAGACTGAAACAGGGCAAATTGCTAAATGAACTCTAATTTTATCAGCCATCTAGACTTTGAAAATTGCGCGCAATAAAAGGCAAGCCTCCGCAAAGGCAGTCTTTCCATTAGCCCGAGTTATTGCGAAGCTACTTTGGATTCTATTTTCATTAACTTTCACCCATCCTTCGTCTTGGTATCTCTCTCCACGATTTTTATTAATGTTCGCTCCATTTTCATGGCATTTCCACCGGAGAAGCTGGATCCGGATTGAAAGGAATTCTCGAGATAACGTGCACATTAAAGTAAGTCCTGCGCCTTCAATTCGCAATGCACACTGCAGAATTACCTGCAATTCTTCGTTACAGCAATGTTTATCTATTCAAAAGATTGAAGGAGCCTTTGATGGAAAATTCTATATTCGATTATTTTTCCATCATATCCACCCTTTCTTCGATGAACCTCTCAAGGATTTGTATTAATGTTCACACCGTTTCTATAATATTTGCTCAGAAGAAGGTATGGATTCGAATAAAATAGAATTCCTGGGTTATTATCGTCCAAAATTAAAGTTAGTGCATGCGCCTTCAACACTTGGCATATACCACGATAAACCCAGTGTGCGCCCCATATGCAGCAATAGTTATCTATTCAAAAGGTTGAAGGAGCTTTTAGCGGAAAAAGCTCGATTTTACTACAGGCATTTAAGTATTCGAATTCAGTTTTGATGTGAATAGTCCGCATTTGTACGTACTTGTACTTACTTTTTTCCTGTCCCTTACTTGTACTTGTTCCGTTTCATTGTAACTATCGATGAATATTTATTTTAAGTAAAAGTACGTCCATTAATAGCTTGCGCTATCTTGATGTCTTGATACGCGTCCATGAGTATAAGAAAATAATAATAGAGGTCAATTTCAGTTCATTTAAACGCGCAGGTAAAAGAATCCAAGGCCAAACTTGTATCTTAATGTTAGTTGCAAAGGTGACGATTGGAACAATTTCAGCAACTTTGGAATGCCAGTAGCTCCTAATCGTAAAATATAGGTATTCCCTTGTACAATTTTGGGTACAGCCGTTTGGAGACAACGTCTTTCAGAGACTCTGCACAAACGATCTAAAGGCCTGGATACTCGCTCAAATTTCCAACAATTTCCGATCAAATGGTGACTGTGGCGCACCATCTACCATCAAATTTGTGTGGCCTGCAAAAGTTTGACCGCCATTTTTGTCATAATTTTGATCGGAAATTGACGGAAGTTTAAGCGTGTATCCAGGCCTTAAGCATGCGATCAAGTGAGCCAAAAGTGAGGCGATTAAGTTCGGTTTGCTAAACCAATTGCTCAACTCTTCATTGGGCAAATCTTAGCTTTGACCTTCGAAAGTATGGTACTTTCGTCGTCTACCTGACATAAGGGTGTAACTACACTATGAAATGAACCCTGTCTCCCATAAGTTTCAATGCTTTTCCGGGCTCATCTCAATGTGTAGTTACGCCTTTATGTTAGCCAGGCGACGTTTTACACTATATAGCAACGAGAGTTTTGTGGGATCTCGCGAATACATTGTCTCTGCACTTGATGACGCAGATGATGTTTTGAATTTCCGCCCTCTAAAATATGAAAATCAAATATAAAAGGAGGAAAAGAGTATGAATTTTAAGAGGTAAAAAAATAAAAAAAACGGTAAGTTTAGATAGCGGAAGACAGAGGAGACACAAGTTTCATTGTGACGGAACAAAGGCAATCCGGATGACGGGCCGAGGGGTTGGGGGGAGGATCCTATGTCGGACTATCGCCGCAAAATGTCAAACTCGCGAGAGCGGGGCGGGGGCGGGGGCGGGGGCAAACCCCAGGGACCGGGAATCGGGCGGTAAGTGCCCTTTAACAAGCCACTATTAGCAATGAGAGCGACATTTTAATCAGCTATCAACCCGTGCGCTCGTGTAGTTACCAGTATTGACTGCCAACCTCCACCCCCTCCCCCCCCCCCCCCCCCCCGCAATCCGCCCCCGGTGCCCTTGCGACAGCGCAACAAAGTTGCTAAATCGTGCGATGAGCAGTGTCAAGCGCCATCAAGAGCCGATGAGATTGTGAAATACTCAATTGACGCGGTAACCCAGTGGCTGGAGAGTAACCATTATGATTGAGGTAATCAGACCAAAAAGTACAGATTTCTCATGAAGACATTCACGTTCTTTCAGGGGTAACAGTGTTCCGCTATAGTCAAATTGCCGATAAGACTGTGGGTGGTTTCACGATAACTGGATTAGTTTTGTTGTCGTAATAGATAACACATTTTTCGGTCATATTTTTAGTGGAAATGATAATTACTCGAATTTTTTCGCATTAAGGTATGTTTCGACGGACGCCATATTTTGTGTCAAAACGACATGCAATACATCGCATTGATCGATTCCATTTCTCAGCCACTCGTCACTTTTCTCGAATTTTGAGATCGCAATTCTGTTGTCAGGATAATGAAGAATTCACTTACCAATTTTGAGAGAATCTGAGAATCTTTTTTCAGGGGGAACTCTCTTATTCTGAGAATCTTTTCTCCATTCTAGGCATTGAATATCCACTCATGATATGGGAAAAATAGGATTTTAAGTGCAATATGGCAACGTAGCTCGGCTTTCCGCCCTCGTTTTTTTTAAGTATCGGATTACGACGATCTCGAGGAGATCATGAGGAGCTGGCGCTTGGGGCACTCGTCTTTCGGGGTCGTTCGCTTATCCGCTCATCAGCAGCCCGATTATAGACTGATTTGATGGATATGCCATTCGACAAATCGATTTGCGATAATGGACCAGAGTACCAATTTAGACAGAGTATGGGCCATTTGTGTTCCGGTTTCTCATTGGTCGCGTAAAATAGGCTGATACGGTGCGCTGACACCCGTAAGTAAACAAACAGGATGGCGGACTCCACGCAACCGTTGGATTCCCTCTGAAATAAATTAATAAAATTATCATTGAATCTGATGAAGAATGTGATTACCTCATGGAAAAAACTTTAGGACTAATTTTAGGTCATGCTAACATAATAATTCAAAAAATAATACAAATTTTGATTCCAAAAGAGAGGCGTGATAACGGAACATCAGGAGTAATTTCTCGTGGAAGGGTTGTCAAACATTTTTAAAGTCTATCGACCAATAGGAGCGATTCTTTATTTTCGGCCGTAAGGGCATCATGATAGCCCAAACTCGTAGACCAATCACAAAGCGGCAAAATTTCCCTGTAATAAAAATGACCACACTTAGTGTATATAGGTACTTAACAATGGATCAGTTAAAAAGGTACGATTTTAACCATTCAGATGCATGTTTTTGCCATATTTTCATACTGCAGAGACTAATTGCGCGGCAACGTTTAGTGTGCGATTTGACTCATGTAGACTTTTGTTTTCTCATAAGCGGAAGGTTTGAATTAACGCATATCAATAAACTTTAACACATTGATAAAAATATTTGATTATTGTGTTACTTTTGGTTGACGTAAGAAGTGAAACACAAACCAGCACAAATTTTGTGTTGATTTTGGTACATAGTGAGGTGAATTTAGAGCAAAAAACAATGGAAAGATTGGGAAAATGCATCCTTCCGATTGCGACGTCAGTATTCACCACTCGTTTCTTATTCAATGTCTTCAAGAAAACGAGCTTGAATTTTCTCTCGAAATTGCCAACAAAATGCAAGAGTTATTTTGTGTTTTACTTCCTGTAGGAACCAAACTTTTGAATGGTATTTTTAGCTTTTATTTTGGCAAATTATTCAAATCTTTAGCAAGGATCCATTATAAAAGTTACGTGTCATTAAACTGTACTCAAAGGCTCGCAAAAAGTGTCCGTGCATGAAGAGGGGTTAAAAGCTCATAATTCAAATATAGACCATTTGATGCCCTCTTGGGAAAAAAAGGCTGACTGAGGAATAACCAATAATACGGATCTTCAAATAAAAATGTATAACTTTCACTATTATGAGCAGTAACTCTGCGTGTATCTCATAAATGTGCCATATCGATGATATTACACACCGTAAAAATCTCTAATTGACGCTAAAGCTCATATTTAATGCATGTTTTACTTCTTAATTTAATGACTCACTCTCCAAGAAAGCATTGAATAGCAAACGGGTATTTAGTTTGAGATGGAGTCATCATTTATTTTTCACTCCTGTTCTTTGCAATTTTCCAGGAATGTTCGTAATAAAATATAATGAGGAAGGAAAACTTAAAAAATACAAGAAGGAACGGGAAAAGAGGAAGGAGGGATACACGAAAAAGGAGCCGTTTTAGTTTTTCCACCTCATGAGTTCACATCAATTTAGCTTTTCTTTTCGACTGGTGGCGTAATCACATTTCCACGGAATTGGAGGAAATAATTAAATAATTATGCAAAACCCCATACGCCACATCCTTAGACGTATTTTGCGGAAAAGAGCTATTCTTAGAAAATGTCAATGTTTTGAGTCCCCCGAAAATTCTGAACGTCGAACGTTTTCCGTTGCGGAAGCTTCTCCAGTGTGTTTTTGATCCGGCCACAAATGAGTAATGTGATTATCTAGCTTTTCGAATGCAACTGACTTCATCGCATTCTCAAACGGACTTTTATAGCACGGTGTTGGAAAATTCAGCCCTTATACACTTTTCACTGAATTAGACAGCGATATCATCGAACAGCTGCAGCTGAGTTCAAAATCTTCAAACGGGAACTGAATAAGGTACTGTATTTTCATAATTTGTCTCCCTCTGTAAGGAAAATACCATCAGCACTTTTGATGGTGCTGCGAACAGGCTACCATTAATATGGCCATGCCCTAGGGGGAAGGGAAGGGCACGCATGCATGGTCCTTAATGTGTCAGGGGAACTGTGTTTTTTTCCCCCTTTTTTTAAAGTTGAGTCGAAGAATTGAAGAAAAAAATAATGTCCTCTTTGAATGATTTTTAAATGGTCTTTTATGATATATTTCAAACAGTTCAGCTCACTTTCTTGAAGAGTGAGAGGATGTAAAGTATATCATATACGAATGAAAATTTTAAGAATTGGAAACCCCAGATTAAGTATAAAATCAGTTGTTGTTCCCAGAACTGCACTTTTTTAACTACGGCGAAATATAACAAATTAATAAAATGTATTATCTAATCATGAAATTCAAAATTTTGAGTGTAACAGTGAATACAACTTTTCTGATTTTGTATCCACTGTAGATAGATTGGTATATTTTCCACGCGAACGGTCAAAAATGTGGAATTGCATGGTATGGGAAAAAATTAAATGTTCCTCATAAAATCCATAATCTTATTCGTCACGCTTTAGTTACAGAAATTATAACAATTCCACTTTCAGTCTATTTTTAGGTGAGGGAAAGTAATTCATTTAAAGCAATGAGTGCCAAACACAACCTTATCACATATTCATTCTGACTTTGAGACCGCTGCATTGCTTCACATTGCGTGTTAAATTATCATCAAGCGGAAAGTATTAACTTATCTCCGAATTTTACTTTTCCCTCATCTGGCTGCATTGCCTCTATTGTTGCTGCGAGATCTCTAGAATATATCCCCTCTGTACGTCTCGGGAGAGTAAAGGAGAGAAATCTGGGACTTCAGTTTATTTTTAAATAGGTAAATTATTTACTATCGCAATCACAGAGACTAGAGAAACGGAGGTACCATCAAACTCATCAAACGGAATATAACATAATTCACCGTGACATAGGTACACCAGATAAAAAACCTCGAATAGACATTACAATTATTGCTATACTGTATCAGAGTATTGTGCATGTTTCCAGTGGCGTGGCGTAAAAGATCGATTATCGATTTTTCCCATTTGAGGCTATGGTAAAGAATCGATTTTTAAGGTGTCTGTTCCCTGTTTATCGATCCTTTTCCTTAGGATTAAATGGCAGATTAATCGATTTATCACAAAGCACGCCACGCCTCTGCATGTTTCCTACTCATCGAGTGAAGGAACCTCATTGAAATTCATTGCAATAAAATTTAAATAAGTTGTAATATTTCAATGCATTGCATATCACATATCTTTCTGACGCATGGAGCTCATTTTATTAACAAACTGTTGCAAAATCGGCATTGACTGACGTAATGATGTGCAAATATTGCTATTAATGGTAAAAAATTGCGTTTTAATAGAGAATTTTCAGGTGTCTGAATTTTTTTTTAATTTAATCATTAAAATACCACTGCTAGGAAAACTGAGCACGAGGATATCCTTGGCTCCTAAATTGAACAATTATTTGAGGAAATATGACAAAATAACCGAATCTGCTAAAATACACGTGTTTAAATGGAAAATGCCACCAAATGCCGTCATAGGGTGGCACATTTTCTCACTTTTAAATCTATTTGTCTCCAATTTCCCATGTCAGAAAAAAATTCTGAAAAATACTGCGAACTCAGCTCATTAGACACACCCAGATGAAGTAATAACATTTTTGTGTGCGAGTTGTCCATTGCAATTTTATTTCTATATTTTGTTGCGCCTTACTACTTAGGTAGTGTGGTAAACTAGACTTGATATCAGTGCTTGGTTTGAATTGATCCTTAAGAGCCTCATGGTAGCAATGGAGGCGACGTCAACTCCTACGTCAACGAAGGAGGCTGCACGTCACCTGAAAGAATGGTTGTCCCAGGAGCCCCATCTCCCGAACGTCGAGGACGAGGAATGGCTGGAAACCGTCTATCGCCACAACAAATGCAGCCTGCAAAAATCAAAACGCAAACTGGACAATTACTTCTCCATGAAGACGAAATACCCAAACATCCTAAAGAACAGGTATGGAGCAAAGGGTTTACCTAGAGTCCTTTTACACTGAGAGTAAAGACAATGCGAATTTCTGATTGGTTCCCGTATTTTAGGCCTTCGCAGTGTCACAAATGGGAATAAAGATTACATTTTCCCCGATTGCAAAGATTATAATCTAGAATGGACCGGGAAATAGAGGGTACGGCATGGAACTAATGGAATGAGAGAGGGAACAGAAATAGGAATTCGGGAATGGGTTGATCAAATATTACAGCAAACGTCCAATTTGTGTGTTATCTTTATTCCCGTTTGTGACATCCACAAGCCGCGTTGTCTCAACCCTCTCTATGAAAGGGCTCTAAGTGTACCTATTAAAGATTTATTCCGAAAGAAAAGTTGTTTATGTTGTTAATGAGAAAAATGACACAAAAATCACGCTAAGCGCATTGGCAAAGTATGGTTCGGACGTGTTCATGCTGGTACACGGACTTTACGTCCACAGACTTTTCGTCCATAATTTTTACGTCCACAGTTCTAAAGCCCACACTATTGTTAAGTCCATTACTTAAACGTCCACTATGTTAAGTCCACAAATGTGAAGTCCACTAAAATCAAATTCAAGCGTCATACTTTAGTCCGTGTGTAAAATTATATTGACAATATCGAAATGAGAAAATTAAGAGAGAATGAGGTGTTGTTATCGTAACTCATATTTTAAATGATATGTTAATTTCTTCTTTTGATTCATCTTTTCAAATTGTCTTTGGTAAATACTTGGTTTCATTTCTATCCTTGAAATTTCCGATATAAAATATGCCTTAAATGTACATTAATTTTTTTTTAATGAAATTGATTACTTCATTTTAAAAACATTTACATTTTTAAAACGTGGTAAATATTTGTAAAACCTTTTCCAAGCGATGGCATCGATATGAATTTCAATGAGCCGTAGTTGTGATGAAAAAAACTATACCAAAATTAATAAAAGAGGAAAAACAAGCAGTGAACTCCAACACAATGTGTTGATAAGGCGCGTCATTAACTCGCACATATCAACCCCTTTAGTTTTCATTTACAGAGATTTCAAAATAGGCAAACAGCATAAAAAGAGAATTCACGATCCAACTCTGCGAGGTCAAAGACGCACCTTGACGAGACCGTGTATTGTGAAAGTAGAAAGCTATTCGATCGAATTTAAGTTTTTTGATCTGCCTCAAGCAAAATCTTATCAGATTCTTGAAGAAAAGTGCTACGGAATAATTTAAGCGAAGAAAGGAAAAATTCTGTCGAACTCCTAGAAGATAAAGTCGATTTAAAGGTATTTTGGGGCTAAAATACCCAAATCACCGGTAGTAAAAATCCCGTTATATTATTGAAAAGAAATTGACTCGATATAAATGCAATTGCATTAAATACGTCTTGATTTTGTTATTTTAAACGTCTTTCCATGCAAAGAAGTTCAACCATGTCGTTGCTTTATTCATTCATGAATTGAAAGTAAGCAATCTACATCCCGAAAATCTACTGATTTGCCGTAAAAAATTGCAGAAACTTGATATACCAGGTCGATGCACCCACTCGTTGAATTTACCAACCAATTTTGTGAGTGCAAATGTGTAAGAATCAATATGCTATAGTCATTTTGGGTGCATTTATTTTTCATGAAACAATAATAATTTCAATCCCGAAAAACCATCAATTTTCCGTATAAAATCGAAAAAATCAAAATATGTCAACTCCCCGACGTGAAAATTAGATTCTACGTATGTAAAATGTAAATACTTATGTATCGATATGCTGAACAGAACTATGTGTGGACAGTCAGAAGCCCGCGGCAACATTAATTCAACAGAAAAACTGTAAAAATTAGATAGGATTTTAGCCGCTTTGCCCGCCTCTCCTCGCTACTTACAACAAACCGTTCTTATACTCATCTCAAAATTTTTCTCAGAGCTTTGGGTTATTATCAGCTTCCATTTAAACTCCGGTTCGATGGCCGAATCGGCTGCCAAAAAAGCAAGCCACTGTTGAGGGGTTCTATGAGAAATTCGTGATATTATCGGCTCTCAGGAAATCACCCCATGGCTAAAATTGGTGGTATAAATGTTTAAGTGCTTAAAATAATCGTATTCAAGAAACTAAGGAATTAAACTATGGAGTCAATTTCTTTTTAATAATATAACGAATTTACTACCGGTGATCTAGCTATTATAGCCCCAGAATACTTTTAAAGCGCCTTTGCGTTCCAGAATCTCGACGGAATTTTTTTTTTTTTTTTTTTTTTGCTCAAACGATTCAAGAAACATTGTAGTTAAAAATATAAAGATTTTTCGATTTGGACGTATGAAAAATGTTTAACTCGTTCAGGCACACCGTGTATTGTATGGAGTACTGCTGTTATTCGACCGTTGTCTTCAGGTCAAAATTCTTACAAAGAAGCCCCTTGCAAGAGGCAAATTTTTTGTAATTTCTCCCAGTTTTTTCAGCGTTAGGTATATAAATGAATTGTTTGTCAAATTTTGAGGTCAATTATATTTAATTGTAATTTATACTTTCTTTTTTTCCCCTTCATTTTATTTTTCGTATCGAGGAGTCGAGGTTTTGTTGATTTCTTCGGATTTCGATTACTGTAACTTCTCTTCTATTCGGCCGATTTTTATGAATGAGGTCTCTTTTTATTTGTGTTTTAACGGAGAGTAAGGAAAAAATTGCTAAATACATGCGAAACAATTTTTTTTGAAAATTGGATGAATCCTAGCGTGACGGTGAAATGGTTAATGAAGCGTGAGTAATTGGGGTACGGGTATCGGCCGCGTTGGGACCCAAGGCCCATTGTTCTTCGTGACGCCGACGCAGTGATCAGGAGCGTGGGGACGAGAGGGCTTAGTGGACTCCTGTATGAGCCACGTTTAGCAAATGGTCTAATGAGTCTCGAGGCTCATCACAGATTGCACTTACCACTATCCTGGTGGCCCCGGCTATCAGAGCAAGGAGTACCAACTTTTGAAAAGGATAACAGTGTTGTGGAGATATGTCAAAGCAACGTTGTGAACAAAACGGAGTGAGTGAAATTCTCATTCAAGGAGTGCCGAACTGGTCAGCCATCCTCGAATCAGTTCGCTTGCTTCCGCTTATATATGCATATTTTAAATCAGCGCGCCCCATTCTAAGGTTTTTTTAAAAAAAACCAAGAAACGTAGACTCTTGGTATTCATTACACATAAACTAGCGAGCCCCAGAATGAGAAACAAATTTTAATCATTATTATTGACGGATTAGTAAACTTTTTACACGCTTTGGAAAATCTCAGAAGTTCGCGGTAGTCACTTTTCGGTAAGGAACTAGGGGACTCGGTTATTGTATCGAGGGGGGGGTCGAAACGATCGCAAAGGCGGTATACTACGTATACGCGCCAAAAAAGGAGCACGCAATTTTTTCTTTTTAACTTATTTGTACAGCGACCTCTTTGAGTCAAATACGTCCAATGGTGAGCGTTTAGTTGCACTTACACCAAGCTGCAGCACAGTAAAAGCCCAAAACATAAAAGAATAAATTTGAATGCTTTGGAGATCATTAAATTTGACACGGAACCAGTATTATATTTACAATAAACACATTATATTTTCCAGTAGTTCATATTTCTTTTTCATCAGTTTAAAAGGGAATAATCAATGCAGAGAGTGCAAACATTTCAAAATCATGAGTTGAAAAACGCTGACTCCGGGAGTTTAAATATTGGAGCCTAACATCGAGCGGAGCGGCGTGTTAGCAGTGCAGAACGCGCACTGGCGCCTACAAACCTAACGGGATACTTCACGCATTGCGCAACGCGTGAAGTATCCTGTTAGGTTTGTAGGCACCTATGCGCGTGTCACGCTGGTTGCCTGCCGCGCCGCAACGCTTTAAGCAACTATTTCGCATCAGAGGCATTGCACAATATCCTACGAGATTGAAGGCGCACGAAATAACTAGTTAAAGAGGACTTTCAATTTTGACTGCATCTGTTACTGAAAAATGTTTAATTTGGCATTGAAGCGTTTCCTAGCCTTCCGCTTTGATTTTCATCTAATCATATCCGTACCAGTGGCGTGGCGTAAATTGCGATATATCGATTGTTATGCCATTTAAACCTATGAAAAAAGATCGATTATCAGGGTGTTCGCAGTGAACATCTTAGTAATCGATTCTTTACCATAGTTTCAAATGGCGAGATGTCGATAATCGATTATTCACGCCACGCCACTGATCCGTACAGTGTACACATGAACATATGTTTTTATCTGCTCTTAGAGTCTGTTCTCTTTCATGACTTGATTCATGAATGAAATGTTTTTAAGAATGAAGGGAGTAGTAGTATGAATTTATTTTTGAGGTGGCTCCTGTCATTTAAATGAGAAGAAAAAAATGTGGACATAACATGTCCACAATTTGGACAATTTTGGACGTATTCATGGTTGGTCATTAAATCATGTGGACTTAATAAAGACTGGACTTAACGTTTAGTGGACATAAATATCGGTGGACATTTATTTAATGGACGAAAGTTAGGTGGACAAAAAGTCCTGGAAGCGTTCATGCTAAATGTAGACCCGTCTTGTGTCTCCAACGCAAACCGTTTTTCCGTCATACCAAATCGAATATTATATCGACTAAATCTATTGGCCCATACAGAGATCCCACCTCAGCAGAAATACTCGAGGCTAGGAAAGCATATCCGGTAGCATATTCGAGCAAAAGAACGCGGGACAATTGTCGGATCATGCACATGCTTTGGGGCCCAGAAACAGGTACCTGGAACATGGACCAAATTTTGAAGAGGAATTTTATGCTGCACGATGTCATCTGCTTCAGGGAGGATCCAGACACTGTCGGCATGTATTGCATCACGGACCTGAGCGGCATCACTTATCAACACATCGTCAAGGGGCTTCTAGGTAAATGCATACATCATATTTACAGTAGCGTCGATTCTAAGGTAGATGCCTCCAGCCCTGGGTTTCCCGGATTGAAATTATCTCAAAATATTTACATTTTGAACAAAATTTAATTGTAGTATGTTGGAGTTTTTTGCCAACGTGCGCTCAAATTCAGCATAAAACTGAAAATCTCAATACAGAGGGGAAAAGCTCAAATGAGCACAGTTTTTCCTCAAAGATATATGCTGTTTGGTGCAACACTAGTTATGTCCATTCAGGAAGGCAACTGCATACGCGTTTCGGCCTTGTTGGGCCAATCCTCGGTGCAGTGAGGCCTCCTAAATTATCTGCTACCAAGCTCGAGAGGTCAGCTTTATGCGCTGAATTTTAACGCACGTTGGCTAAATACTCCAACATACTGTCTTATGACCCGTGCGTCAATTGCAATCAGTTTGTGTAAAATTTACTTCCTCTTCATCAGAACCAGTCATTTTAAAAAAATGAAAAAAATAATACTAATATAAGAAAAAGAAAAAAAAGAAAAGAAAAAAAATATAGGTATATAATTTTTTATGTCATGAGAAGACTCTATCGATGGGAAGGGATATTCTACTGATGCATATTGACCAGAAACGTGTAGCCCTACTCACCATTTTTACTAGGAATATATGTAGTCTACTCACCGTGTATTCCTCGTCCAAATCTGGTTTTAGGGTTCAGAGCTGTAAATGAAATAATGAGCGCTGGCTACTCGGAGCGGATGAAAGGGACCTACTACATAAACGCACCTCACTTCATGAGCTCTCTTATGGATGTCCTCAAGAGTATACTCCCCAAAAACATGGCCGAGAGGACAAGCATACTGAATTCCAAGGAGGAAATACTCAGTATTTTTGACGAGGATGTGCTTAGCGTTGACTTCGGTGGCAATGGGCCAACATTTAAGGAGTATGAAGGTATGTATGAATGGTTGCTTGGTTAGCGAACACATTTAAATGAATGAGGTGCCTTAATAGGACTAAGTCATTAACGCTGATCTAAAAAAAGGCTGGTCAACTGCGTTGTATTCTCTCGACCAATAATGCAACATATGGATGTCAAAAAAAATCATAGTGATGCAGCTTGGTGCCGTGCTGAGGAAAAACGCCGTATGAGCCTTCAGGCGTTGCCAAATTCCCCCTGGCAAATCACTAATTTTCAGGAAGATTTTTAAATATTTGTCTACCATTTTTTCAGATAATTTTGTTTGTAATTTGATCTAAAACGTCTGAAAATTTCGATGAAAAATATTCATAATTTTTCTCATAAATAAACATTTTATCGAGGAAAATTTGGCAACTCTCGAATGTTCATCCGGCGTTTTTCCTTAGCACGGCAGTGTAAGAGATCCTAGTAGGACTTTTACTGATGGTCAAATTTGTGGTGCGGAACCGAGCACCTGTTTCAAATCAAGAGAGTTCATACTTTTGTGTGCTACTTCCACGGAAAGAAACCTCGCTATTTTTCAACCAAGCATCATAAAAGCATTCCTCAATAGTTTTATACAAAGTCAAAGAGAATCAAACTTTCCTTTGGGCCACGAATCATGCTACACACATCGAGATAAAAAAATGTAAAAGCCAGCGACATTATCATTACAATTGTTAGTCCGCACTTATGACTTGAAATGGGATCTTACAAACGTGCTTTTTTTATACATATCAACCGTAACTTTGATGGTTTAACTTTTCCCCTCCTTCAGTTTTAAGTAAATTCCTTTTTCTCATAGACAGGTACATTTGTCTTTAATCCTTTCATTAAAATACATATCAATATTATATTTTTTTTTTTTTTAAATTTCAGAGTGGACTCAGAGCGTCCTGGAAAAACACAAATCATGGTTAGAAGAACAAGAAAGCTTTTGCTCCAACGAAGCTCTGCGGAGAAGGGGCAAGGATGAATTTGAAGAAATGAGTGGTTCTTTTATGAAACTAGAGGTCGATTAATTAGTCAATTGTTAAATTATTTTTGAGGCTGAGTTTCAAAAAAGTTAATATGAGTTTTTAGAAGTCTCATTTGGCAATCCTGATTTACGTATTTTAACTGTTCATTTCAGTATATATCGATATTTATTTTTCCTCGAAAATTCAATATTTTATTTTTTTCACTTTTATAGCGTTCTGTACACTGACAATGAGTCCTTCCTTTTAATAATTAATCTCGTTTATCTTTGAGATACATAATTGCCATATTCTGTCTTCAAAAAGTCATTCACTCACGTCATTTTACCAATATAGTATTTGTATTCATAGTAAAGTTTCTTCGTTTTCTTGGTGTCTTTTTTATATCTTTTTTCTTCATGATTTCCGCTGAAAATTTTTTTCTAAGAATTATAGGGGGGCGTATCCGACCAAAATCAATCTAAACACATCACATGATGCCTGATTTCCTCTCATGTTTTCTTTTTTAGCGGAGAACAAAGTAAATATCTTGGGTTGAAATGTTGTCCGTATATTTTCCGTGTAGGGTCATAAGAAGTTGCGAGGATTTAATTCAGTTGGTCCTCTGCCAGGAAAATGGGGGAAAAATTAGACATGATCGAATGTAGGCAGTTCTGGTTGAATCTGCATCTTAAATTATAAACTTCGAAGCGTCATAAATCAAGGTTTCTCATATTTTTGGGCGGGTTTTGTGCCAAGTTGTATGCAGAAACTCTCGGCACTGGTACCTATACCATTTTCGGCCTTAATATGCCTGTTATCCTAAACAGCTGCTTTCACTAGACTTAAAAGTTAATCATATTGAGTTTTCCCATCTGAATGTAACTGTCAACGTGGTTAAGAAGGATGGAAAAATTGCTGCAGACTGTGAGCCCCGATAGGAACCAAACGATTAAACTACTTTATTTTGACCATTTGTCGCAAAATCACGGATTTTTGAGGACTCAACATGACACCAATTTACACTGAGAAACTAACCTTGGCTCATCCAAGAAAGCACCTATCTGCATAGGGAGACCAAGGCCAGATACGTTGTTTTCAAAACGAGTCGAAAATAATGGTTCCTTATTCTCAAATTAAGTCCGAATGACTGAGGAAACACGATTTCAGTTCGCTATTACCTCATGATGCATATAATCTCTTTTTAAAAGAATGATTTAGGTGATCTGAAGTACTTATGTCGATCTGTAACCCTCATGTAAATGACCGAATTTGACCTTATAACAACTGGCCTCGTATGCAACTATTACGATGCGTAAGAGAGCTCACTTCATACTTTACTAAATGGTGGTAAATGCTATTGATAAAACTGCAGAACAAATAAGGCTTAATAGTAAAATTTAGGGGAAAATGAAGTATTTTAGTTCTAGCTGTGTTTTCTGCCAACTGTTCCGTCTCGGCCAGCTGTAAAAAGTTCACAACCCGGTGAAGTGTTTAAAATGACTTTCAAGTCGAGACCAGACTTAAATGGTTTCGTTAAAACTTAGGACTGCCTAGTGGAGCCACTGTAGCGGAAAGCGTTGTTGCCATCGCTCAGGTGAGAAAACACACTAAAAAGTGGCCCGAATACTGTATGTAATAAGGTGGAGAATACATAGTTTTGGGCTCAAGTTCCAGCACCTTTTAACGTACCTTCTTGAGAGCTGTCCTGAGTTGTCTCTATTTTTAGCAGAATATTCCGTAAAAATTTTCTGAAAGTATTTTGTAAAAAGTCGACTGATTGCACTTTGAAAAAATAAGACAGGAGAGGATATTTTGAAAAATCGCAACAAAGCTACGTAGTTCCGCAACTTGGCCATAGATATTCCGTAGTTTTCTGGCTAAAGGATCACAAGCGCTATGCGACGTTTCAGAATTTTTGCCGCCATTTTATTTTTTTACCTACATAGAAATTGTCGGTTGAGTTTATTTGAAAGTTTCACTGAATTTTTTTGGCAGCGCGGTTAAAATTCAGTGAAATTTTCGGAAAGTTACGTTGAACAATTTTTCTGTAAAAAAATAAAATGGCGGCCGAAAATTTTTAAACGTCGCATGACGCTTGTGATACTTTGGCCGGAAGGTGACGATTTTCTGCCCCAAAGTGATTTTTGAAATATTTTAGTTTTTCTCAGTTTCAAAAGAGCATCAGCGAAGCATTCTATTATTTTTAAAGTTATTTTAAAAACGTCCCGGAGCATCATTGTGCTTTTAGGGACGGCAGCGATGCACAATTAGCGCCGCGTGAGAGGTTGTAACTTTTTAGTTCTTAATTACGGGGCTTTGTGCCTCGGTCGGAGGGAGGTGTGGAGTCGGAGATAGGTCACGTAGCGCTCCCGAGACCTCAAAGCCTCGCCAAATCACTACCAAACTCTTAAATGACCCTCTTCACCGCCCTCATTACTCCATGAATCGGTGCATGATAAAACCGCGCATCTGCATTTCCTCATGAGCCATGAACCCCGCAATAATGCTCACATCATAGGGCGCGTTAGGTAGAAGACTCGCTCGGTTGGTGATTCCCGCGCTGTCGCGAGCCTAAGTGGAAAGGTTAAACAACTCCCTCATTAGCGACGGCGCTATTCAGGAGAGCACGTTGTTTGGGTGGATCGTGGATGGTGGTGAGGGGCTGGGAAAAGATAACAGTTACGGGGTTCTTCGCGCCGGGGTGGTTTTTGCACTTGTTCCTGCTTGAATGTTCGTTTCAGGCGACCGATCGAATCATAGTTGCTTTTAAAACGGGGTTTTCCGTAGAGAGGAACAACCCGCTTAAAATTGGGCTACATTTTGCAATTTGGAAGTATAAATTCTAGCCCGGTTCAAAAAAAACGTATTTGCCATTAGCTTCCCTATGCACATAAGTGTTTTTCTAGAAGAGCCAGAATTTATAGTTCCAAATTGCAAAATGCAGTCCAATTATGAGTGACAAAGACTTTTCCAGTTCATAATTCCCGGTTGAAAATGTTTGTTGAGTCAACCGGAAGTCTTTCTTCAGTGACAAGACGTCTTTTTGAAATATTCGAAATCGTACTTGCCCGGATGATGGAACGTAATTTCATTCCAGTGCTGCAAAATTGACTCAAACACATACATTTTTAATTTGTACCCATGCGTAATTTTTTTCCGTGCTTTCTTTTGCAGAGATCAGAAGAAACATTAATAACATGTTCAGTTAGAAATGCCCAACATTCTAGTCGTACAAATACATTTTGCATGGGAACATTTGGCGAAATTGGAATGTAGCTACTTCTTTTTGCGAGAAAAACGACGATACATCGCTCGAACCAAAGAAACTTCTTGTTAACTTAACGAAAGTTTTCTCAGTGGACTTATTAATTGGAATTTCTGTATCCAACAGAAAGTTTTCTCCGTGATTTAGAGAGGTTCCATCCTAGTTTGATGGACTCAGATTGTAGGATTTCTGGACAGGTGAGTATGCAAACCAAAAATTAACACGTGTTTAGTTTATTTCGAAATTGACCTTTTGACAGATTTGAACTCTAAAAAGGATACGGACTCGTGTTCCCCGAACGGCCCTGGTGAAAATTAGCGATAGGAGCTGCGTTTCAAAATACCATAGGAGTTCTCATAGCCGACTGAAAAAGGCGATAGAAAATCATATAGCTGGCTGTGGAAAGTGGACAAAATCATACGGCCGGGCTACACAAAGCGATAAAAAATTATACAGCCGGGCTATAGTTCCTATCGCTGGGCTTTACACTTTATCGCCTGGCTGTTGCTTTTTTGCCATCGGCTATGAAAGGCTATAAGAAATTTTGCAGAAATTCGTGTGCTTTGGGAATCCTTAAAGTTTGTACGGAATCACCTTAATTCTTACAAAACACACATTATATTTTCCTTTACTACATATTTTTTTTCATCAATTAAAATGAGAATAATCCATACAGAATGTGCAAACATTTCAAAGTCATGAGTTGAAAAACGCTGACTCCCCGAGATTAAATATTAGAGCCTAACACGAAGCGGAGCGGCGGCGCACTGGCGCCTACAAATCCAACAGGGATACTTCACGCATTGCGCAATGCGTGAAATATCCCTGTTAGGTTTGTAGGCGCCAATGCGCGTTTCGCGCTGGCCGCCCGCCCGCCCGCCGCGCCGCGCTGCAGCGTACCACGGTGCTTGAAGCAACTATTTCACACCAGAGGTATTGCACAGTATCATACTAAATTGAAGGCGTTCCAACATATTAAGAATGGCAGGCAGCCTTCAAAAGTATGGAGCTTTCCTCGCAAAATAAATCAAGACACTACGGCCCAAAAAGAGAGCGGTAGTCCAAAAACTCACTAAGTCAGGCTGTTGCTTAATCGCCATCGGCTATAAAAGGCTATAAGAAATGGTGTTGCCGGCTACAGAAGCTATTGGAAATCTTACAGCCGGTTGTAGGTCTATAGTATTTTGAAACACAGATTCTACTGCCAATTTTTACCAGGTGGAGGAAAAACGCCACTAAAAACCCGGTCAGATTAAATGGATCGCATTTAGCAAAAAGGAACCAGCGCGATTGCAGTATTGTAAACATTTTGTTTCTTCATAATCGTCTAAAAAAATCTCCCAGAATAGTAAATAGTTTTTGACTCCCACCGGAAAAATTGGTATTTTTAAAGGAAAATAATTGTGTATATTTCATAACTGTGCATATATTAAGTATTTTCAAAAGTAAGGAGGAAGTTGCATAATTTTGAAAACACTGTAATCGCGCTGGTTCCTTTTTGTTAAATGCGATCCAAATATTGTAAATCGAATGACAAAGCTACTTGCAATATTTACTCAAAAATTACTTTTAGAGTTACTTCAAAGTATTTCTTGATCGAATTTTTTGCGGATCACCTAACGTTCTACAGCGTATGATGCTCGGAAATTTTCAAGAAATGTCCTAAAATGCAGAAACAATCAATTGGACGTATTTCTGCCAAGCAGATATATGTGTATTAATACATGAGCCCTGAGACCTTTAAGAATACATGCATAACAGGGCTCACGTCATTTTACACATAGGTCCGTTTGACAGA